GGAGATTTAATACTGTCTGAAACAACACTTTTCTCCCGCCTCACCACGTACACTTAACTGATTGTTCTGCAGCGACACAGCAGCTAATGTCTCTGCAAACAGATTTTCCTGCAGAGCCGCGATTCAAAATAGAAACTTGAACATCAGTCTGCGGCCAAACGGCATCGTAAACTCATGATTCACTCGCTCGTCGTTCTGCTGACGTCGTTCAGGCTCCTGTTGCATAAGATCATAAAAAATAAAAAGTGTCTGTCAGGATCGACTGGAAACTCTGAGCTTCACATCTGTCAGTTTTTAACTCAGACGTTCAACAATCAGACCGAACATGGAGGGAAACTCTGACTGCAGCAGCGTCTGTCTGACTTTATCACACATAACAGGGTCTGAAGGATAAACTCAGGAGCTCAAGAGGAAGAGCGGTCCTCCAAGAACTGGAAGGTTGGTAGTTCGATTCCCCCCTATCTAGTCTGTCTGTTGTGTCCTTGAGCAAGACACTTAACCCACCGTCCTCCCAGTGTGTGTCCTCCACTGGTGTATGATTGTGAGTGTTGTGTGGTGGTCAGAGAGGCCGTAGGCGCAAACTGGCGGCTGTGACTACTAAGGTAGTTTACCACCACCAGGGGGCGACTGTGTGAATGAATGAATGAATGGATGATGTATCCAATGTAAAGAGCTTCGAGGGTCTCTGATAAGGCGCTCTATGAAATCTGATGCATTATTATTATTATCATTAACACATGTCTGTATTCACATCCATGCTGCAGACAAGGAGGGGAGACATCTGCAGTTCCACGAGTGTCCACTAGAGGCTGACACCAACAGTGAGTCAGCTCCCATAGAGCCCCATGTTAAAGTTCTGCTGTAAACAGTAGAGAGTAGAAATAAACATGTTTTTACAGTTTCTGTCTCTACAGCTGATTTCTGTAATTAATGACGTCTGTGAATTTAAAGCCGACTCGTCTGTTTACGTGAGAACGAGGTTATGGTCAGACATCATCAGAACGCCTCTGTTTGGACCATAGACACCGTCTGCCTCCTTTCTGAGAACAGCACCCTCTGGTGACGGGCTGCAGTATAGGTCATAAACTCCGCCTCCTTCTGGAGCTGTGGACAAACTTTATAATATATATACTGTATATATATATATATCATCACAGCGACTCTCCCACCAAAAGAGCACAACGCTACTGTGTTGGTTTTAGGAAGTGGAGAAAAAACGCGGAATTACCGAGAACTTTTCAGCTTCAAATCCATACACTGGCTGGAGGCGGAGCCAAGCTGTCCATACGTCGCACAGGCTTTGGTTTTGACCCAGGGGGTGGAGCTACTGGCTGACTGTTACATATCTAAATTTAGTGAATCCATCTAATTAGGCAAACGTCACAAGTAACTTCTATTCAATTAAAACCCCTAACAGATGATTTATTCCTGAAAAACTCACAGACAGCTGAGGTCTGAAGTCAGGATGAACCTTTGGTTTGAGAGAGAATCACAGCAGAGGAGAAAGAGAGAGAGAGAGTCTGATCTGAAGGACCGAACCCCAGGGCCCTGAATCACAAGTGTTTGTTTCCTCTGTCATATAAAGTCTGAGAGGAAAACCAACAACGAGAGAGAGAGAGAGAGAGAGAGAGAGAGAGAGGGAGGGAGAGAGAGAGAGCTCTCAGTCTTCAAAGAGGAGGACAAGGACGGACATTACCCGGCTGACAGACTCCAAAAGCTTAAAGAGGAGGAAGAAAATGAGAATCTGCGCCCAAACCTCAGGAAATCGATGAAAACATCAGGTTATTTTTGTAAACAGAAAACAGCGGCAGAGAGATCGCAGCCGGAAAACCAGCCGGGCAAACTTCCACCCAGCCCAGACTGAATACCGTGTTCCCATCGGCCCCTTTGTTTCTCCTCTGTTGCCTCTGGAGACCAGGGGACCGAAAACACTGAGAGGCTTTCCTGCATTGATCACCGAGCAACTGCAGCACAAAAGGCCGACAGCAGAGGAAAGAGCAAACCGAGCTCCCAGTTAGGAGGCTGTGTGAGTGTGGAGAGGTCTGAGAGCGCGCATCAGAGCGCCACGCTCATGTCCGGGTCAGTCCGACCACTTAACATGTTTGTTTTCACTGCAGAAGAAGACGACGTCTCCAAGTGTCTGTCAAAGAGGCGGACAGGAAGAGGGACGGTGGAGAGCTGCTGAAGGTCAGGAGGACGCCTGATGTGCTCCTCAGTTCCAGAAGGAGGTTTGCTCCAGAATTCCACCCCATCTGGAACGGTAGTGATTTTCGCCGTCCAACCTGATCCGTTTGATCCATGATCCGAATTTCATGGCGGGTTACAGACAGCAGGAATCGCGAGAACTCACAAGAACCCGCAGATTCACGTTCAATCGCAGGATAACGAGTTGTCTCTCTAAAGACAGACACATAGACATATAAGCAGTAGATTGTGTCCTTCCAGAGGAGGAAATCTACTTCTAGACTTCTAGAATCAGCGTCTCCTCATCGTTCAGGATGCGGTAGATTTGAGGGTCAGATTTACGGTGCAGACAGAAGATTCAGTCTAACGTCCAAACTGAACTAAACACTGAGTCTTGATCCTTTAGTCTGATGATCAGTCCTCTTTCAAGGAGGTACAGGGTAGTGAGAGCAAGAACATGAACCCTGGACTCCAAACTGATCACCAATTCATCAGCTGATCGATCCCTCTGACCTTCTGTGTTTGGAGCTGCTTGTTAAAAATTCAAGTCAGCCAATTATCTGAGAGAGTCACTCAGTTCGTTTACAGTCTCAGTTTAATCGACTAAACTCATAATTCGTCTTTCTCTCTGAATCAGACTTCTCTCCTCGTCCTCGTTTACATGCAGCTGAGAAAACCGAATTATTGACGTGAACGTGTCCTCCTCCCCAACACTAGGGGGCGATATGGGTCTTTTCAGCTGCGCTGTTTCCGACCCCATACAACCGTCAACAACAACAGCAGGTCGGTGTCAGACGTCAGAAGTGTCATGGTAGAGAAAATCAAATTCCAATCACATTATCTGGGAGTCTTAATCAGAGTTCTCAATTGTCCGGTCTTAATCGGAAAAAGGCGAAGAAAAAATAATTCGGTTTTCTCGCGTGTCATGGAAACGTACTGAATGATTTCTAGTTCTTCGTTGAAAGGACAACTGGACTTAGTTGAGACGTTTCGCCTTAGGCGTAGATTCCCACTCCAGAGTCATGTGACTAACCTGTTGGACAAAGTTGGTTTAAAATCATCTGAAAACCATAAAAATCGGTTTTATTTCTGATCATTTTAACCCTTAAATGTCTTTTAAACTTTGTCCCTCAGAGTTCGGAGTTCTCAAACTCTGATTATAGTCGGACTAAAGTGTTTACATGACCTTCAGTTGTCGGGTCTTTATCGGAATAAGACGATAATTCGGTTTTCTTGAGTGTTGTGGAAACACTTGATCCTGGACTCCAAACCGATCACTGTTTCATCAGCTGATCGATCCCTCTGACCTTTTGTGTCCTTGTTAAAAATTCAAGTTCGCCAATTATCCGAGAATCAGTGACCCCGACACTCGACTGTGAGCGGTTCTTCCTGCTCTGTCTTTGATTACTTTAGACTTCTGACAATAACACATGATCATAAATGAGTGAGCCACAGCGTGTCAAAGTGACGTTAAAATTTTAGAGGAAAAAAAGGAGCTAAAATCTCAAAAACTGCCGAGTTAATCTTTCATGTCGATCCAAAGATCCTCCTCGTCTCTGCTGTCGATCATAGACAACCGTAAATGTAGATTCTCAGCTCTCCTGGGTGTCGGTGACGCTCTCGCTGAAGCTCTGTACATCAGTGAAAGTGGAGTCGAGAGACGCATCAGTCTGTCAGATTTACTGTCCCGGCTCGTCCTTGGGGGGGACGCGTGACGAGAGCGGAGACCAGAGAGGAACCAGAACCTGCAGCAGGAGGAGAAGTGATTTTCTTTCTGCCTCTCAGAGTCTAATCGACGGGAAACAAGCCTTCAGTCCGGCCCGTTAATCCCAAATTTCCCTGGACATTTAAAGAGCTCGCTTTGTTTGAGTCCGATAAATTTGTGGAACTGGATCCTGAACGGAGACCGGCACACGGGTCCAAACACACAGCAGCAGAATCACCCTGTGTGTTAAACAGAAATATGAGCGTCACCGACTCAGAGGAGAAGAACCCCGACAGCGACACGCTCCGTGAATCCAAACGGAGGTTTTAAGACGTGATGACGGGTTCTGGGAGAGGAGGCGGGTCTCTACGGTCCCTGTTTGATCAGAGAAATCCCTTTAATGTCCACAAATTTTAATAAGCCCCTCAAACAAACAAGATTTAGCAGCTCTCAGCTCTGCGAGGCTCCACTGACTCACACAGATATAAACGGGAACATGAAGAATGAAGAGATGGAGACGGTTTACTCAAAAACAAGAACCTGTCATGAGATCTTCTCTGATTTTAGTCTTTCCCTGTCATTTCAGAGTACTTCTCTGTGATGTTCCCTCGTGTTTCTGTTCCCTGTTGTCTTCACTTGAGTTTTCAGTTTGTGTCTGACCCTGTTTCCTCAGTGTTTTATTCTCTAATATCAGTGTTTCCTGTTTTATTTTGTAGTAGTTTATTCTCTGTGTTTCTTGTTTTCCCTCCTCTGTGATTGTCCTCACCTGTGTCTCAGTGTCTCACCTGCCTCTCGTTGATCGTTTCCCTGAGTGTGTATATATAGTCCTTGTCTTTCATTGTATGTCAGTACCTCTGTGTGTCTCCAGTGTCTTTGTGGGTTTTTGGTTCAGTTGGATTTGTGTTCTTGTGTTTTTGGGGATTTTTGAGTTGAACATTTTCTAAGTAAGTTTTCTGTTTCTTTTCTTTTAGTGTCTTTTAAATAAATCATATTTTGTTCTTCATTTTGGGTCCTTCTCTTTTGTTTAACTTTAACAGAATCAGAACAACACCGACCCGTCTCTGATCCGGACAGGAACTTCAGGAAGTCTGAGGAACTTCTGGTTCTGGTTCTGATTCTAACAGGACACGTATATACGGAGGTGGTTCTCTGAGTGTTTTAGTTTGATCTGACCTTTTGTGTTTGGAGCTCCTTGTTAAAAATTCAAGTTCGCCATTTATCCGAGAGAGTCACTCAGTGCGCTTACATGCTCAGTTTAATCAGAACTCCTTGTCTTGTGAACATGTCCTCCTCCCCAACACTAGGGGGCGATATGGGTCTTATCAGCGGTGCTGTTGTTGACCCCATCCAAGAAGTGTCATGGTAGAGAAAATCGAATTCCAATCGCATTATCTGGGAGTCTTAATCGGAGTTCTCAGTTGTCAGGTCGTAATCGGAAAAAGGCGATAATTTGGTTTTCTTGTGAGTCATGTAAACGTAAAGACTGACCTTATCACTACCTCTGAAAAAATCATATTTTTTTGGGACCAGATGAGAATTATTTGGCAGAAATCATCTCACTTAAGTCACGTAAAATATCGACTAAACTACAGTTCCCACTCTGTCCACAGGGGGCGCTAAAATCCACTCAGACTGACTGCAGACTCCTTAATTGGATGAATGGATCATCTGTCCTCATTAATATCTACATTAACGAGGTCATCTGGACATGAAGACAAACTCATCTCTGACCTCCTCGTTAACTCCACACCTCCTCATCTTCAGTCAGAAGCCCCGCCTCCTTTTCCTCAGATGACTGTGATTTCCCGCCGCTCTGTTTGCTCTGAGTCAGTGAATGAAAGTGAGACACTGAAAACAAACACTCGCCGCCGCCGCTGCAGTTATTTCCTCCCCTTAATGACTCCTTTTGTCTCCTCATTACAGATCGAGGAGGACGAGTAATCAGCTCCTTCTTCTTCTCCTTCTTCTTCAGGAGGCGCTCACTCATTTTCAGCTCCTCGTTCTCATGCAAATGAATTTTCTGCTTAAGGAGCTTTAAGCCGCTCAGAGCGCAGCGGCTCGTGACATTTACAGACACCGAGGGGAGAGGAGGAGGAGGAGGAGGAGGAGGATCAGCTGGAAACAGGCAGAGGAGGACAGAGGTGTGTGTGTGTGTTTGACAGAGGTTATCTCAGTGTGTGTGTGTGTGTGTGTGTGTGTGTGTGTGTGTGTGTGTGTGTGTGGGACAGCAGCTGACAGATAAACAGAGAAAATGAGGAAGCTCTCCAGGAGAAATCAGCATCCACCTGTGGCAGGCTGACAGCAGAGTTCACACTCAGCTCCTCCTGAACCTCCTCCTCCTCCTCTCACTGACTTCTCCTCCACGCCGTCCAACAATCCAACCCTCCAGATCAGAAGGAAATACCACCTAAGACCACCTCAGACCTCGCCGTGACACCTGAAGCAGATGAATCAGTGATGTTCACCTGATGATTCATACATTCATGTTTAAGTTTCTGTACGATTACAGCGACGGTCAGGACGGTCAGGGTTAGAGAGGAGGATCATCCCCAGAGATCTACAGGGACGTCATCATTGAAACGTCACCGCCCCGTGCTGACCACACCGTCCAACCAGAACTCTACATTTTTTTAACAAACATCAAGATCTACATCTGAAGGATGTCAAAGTTAGGGTGACCACACATCCTCTCTTACCCGGACATGTCAATGTCTGCGGTTTAATACCCGAGTTTAGATTTTGTGTCACATGGACTTACTGAGTTAGGAGCACGTTAAAGAAACTCGATCCGACCCCAAAAACTCTTAAAATTAACTTCCTGCGACTCCGTGACTCCGCCCCCCCATAGTCATTTCCTCTTTTTGGAAAGTCAAATATGGTCACCCAATCTAACCCCAATTTCCACCGCATCCGGACAACTCCGATCTGGAACTGTTCATACTGGACCCATTTGTGAGGCGATTGTCTTGGCGGATTACAGACAGCGGTAATCGCAAGAACTCACAAAAACCACGTTCAATCACTCGATAACGAGTTGTCTCTCTAAAGACAGACACATAGACATATAAGCAGTAGATTGTGTCCTTCCAGAGGAGGAAATCTACTTCTAGACTTCTAGAATCAGCATCTCCTCATCCATGGTGGCCGGATGTTTTATTTTGTGTCTGTGCCCGACTTCCTTTCCAGCACGGGTTAATCTGTGCTGAATTTATCCGCCATGCTCCGGCGTCCAGAAAAACTAGAACTCTTGTGATCAGCTGAGGAGTCCGGCGATCCGCAGAGGAACGGAAAGAAGTCGGTGTAAATTGACACGTTAACTCGAATGGTTACGATCAGCTACGATCGGAGGATACGACCTTTTAGGAGACGATCAGGATGAAGGTGGAGATTGGGGGTTAGAACCTCTCCTTTAGCGTCCCTTTAAGACAGCCATCAGGGTAAACTAAACCCCTGCTCTGCACCTGTCACACCTGAGCTGATGATGAAGATGATGATGATGGTAAACCTGAATCTTGGAGTCCCAGCAACTCTCCTGCTGATCTGGACTCAGCGTCACACTAAAGGCCACCTCAGTTATCCCTATTATTAAAAGTGTCACTCATGGCTTACCGTAGAGGATGGTCACCATGGAGATGGGCATGACCAGGATGCCCAGGAGCATGTCGGCCACCGCCAGCGACATGAGGAAATAGTTGGTGGCGTTTTGCAGTTTCTTCTCCAGAGACACGGCGAGGATGACCAGGATGTTTCCCATCACTGTGACGGCGATGACGACCAGAATCAGCAGCGCCGCCCAGTTCTTCTGCACCGCCATCTGCTGGACGGGAGGACACGAAGACACGCCGTAAATCCCCCCTACGGTGTGATGAGACCAGTTTCCTGTCAGGACGTCATTCCCTCGATTACACGCCGAGTTATTGATCCGGAGGAGGTTAGAGACGGACTCGGACAGGTTTGGACCATGTAGGTTCATGGTGCCAACGCAGGAACACCTTCACAGGTAGACCTCGAGACCGGGTCAGAGGAGGTTCAGCTCATGGTTTAAAGACAACAAACGTCTCTACAAAACTCTCCAGCCTTCTCTGTCCTTAAAAAACTCGGCAGACGAGCGTCTCCACATGGAGGAACGAAAATAACCTTCTGCTGAATTCAGCACAACAAAACGAGAGCAGCTGTTCAGCCCAGAGGACGAAGAGCTGAGAGCAGGAGAATAAAAGCCTCTGTGAGCGGAGACCCTGAAACACACCGAGGAGAAGAGGAGGAGGAGGAGGGGGAGCGTTTCTGTCACACCAACCTCTCATCCTCCGATCATCTGAAGACGTCTGAAGTTGGAGCGACGTGAGAAACTGTTTTTAAGTCTTTTTAAAAATATAAGATCCATCCTCAGCAGCTGTGGTCCTTCATAAAGATCCAAACGACTCTTCATCCACTCATCTTCATCTTCGAGAGTCTTCACCTGTTCTGGGTTTGACTCCGGTCCTGGTCTCCTCTCACTCTACATACCTGCAGGGATGTGGTTCCCGTGTGTGTGTGTGTGTGTGTGTGTTAAAAACCAGTCCCTGTGTGTCCTCGTCTTCTTGTCTCACCTGAGCACCTGTGTGAGAGCACCATCATCACGTCTGAGGGGAGTCCTCCTCTCCGTAACTTTCCCTCCTGTCTGTTTGGAGATTAAAAAAACAATCATCCCTCTTTTATTCCTCTCCTCTCCTCAGACCTCAGCTCAGTATTCCTCTTTTATTATTCCTGAATTTTTCTCCCTCCAGCCTCGATGGAAAACGTGAGTCTCTCTCCAAATACTCCACAAAGTCCGGTCAGTATTCCCTCAGATCCACAGACCTGCAGCTTTGAGAAGCTCCTTGATGGTCTTGGATCTCCTGGTCCTCCTGGTCCTCCTGTGGAGCAGACTGTCATGTGGATTTCCTCTCAGAGTCGGAGAGTTGTAGTCGTCCTCAGTGATGATCAGGAGCTGAATGATTTCCTCCTCTCTCTCTCTCTCTCTCCCTCTCTCTCTCCTCACGCCGTCTCTCTCACTGGGATCTCCTCCGCTCGCTCTTAACCCAGGGTCTCTCTCTCTCTCTCTCTCTCTCGGCTCGCTCTCGTTCTCATTCATTGCCTCCCCCCTCTCTCTCATTTGCTGAACCTGTATTCCTGCCCCCCTCTCTCTCTCTCTCTCTCTCTCTCTCTCTCTCTCTCTCTCTCTCTCTCTCCTTAAAGGGACATTCTGACACTTTTCTCCTTTTTTCAGCAGCAGGTCCGAACATTCAAACAGACTCAGTTTAATCTTGATGGATCGAACCGTTCACACTCTGACAGGATATTTATTTATGGCGGAATGACTCTGATCCGGGTCCACATCTTCTTTCTGATCCATGATAACCAAGGCGGGTAGAGCAGCAGCAAAGACCCTGAACTCTGCTCTGCCCAGATTAACCCGTGCTGGAAAGGAAGTCGGGCACAGACACAAAATAAAACATCCGGCTTCTTTTCAAAATAAAAGACTCTGAGGAGATGCTGATTCTAGAAGTCTAGAAGTAGATTTCCTCCTCTGGAAGGACACAATCTACTGCTTATATGTCTATGTGTCTGTCTTTAGAGAGACAACTCGTTATCGTGAGATTGATCGTGAATCTGAGGGTTCTTGTGAGTTCTTGTTATTTGCGCTGTCTGAAATCCGCCACGAAATTCACCTTAAGAGGATCCAGTAGGAATTGGTGGACGGCAAAAATCGTGGGCGTGGCCTAAATGTTGTGATTGACCACGCCCATCTTTTCTAACACTTCATAAAAAGGCTCAAGGTTGTCATCTGTCAGATTATCGTTCTCTCTCTGTCTGTGGATTTTTGTCGTTTTCAGCACATTTCTGCTCTCACACATTCACCCGTATCAATAACTCCTGCAGGTTAGTCCTGATGATGAACATCCAGACTCTTCTGATCAGATCTGTCAGCCTCCAAACTAAAAATCTGTCTGAAAAGGTTTTTAACAGGAACACAAACACGAAGAGCGAAAACACAGCTGAGCGATCTGTCGGCGAATCGTCTCTGAGAGCGTCTGTAAGGAGGTCGTTCCTGCTGCAGAAACACAGACAGGAAAGAAATAAGACAACAGAAACACAGAGACGACGGAGGATGACAGACAGACGGACGGACGGAGAGTCAGAGAGGAAATTCAGTAAATAATGGAGAGTGTGAGAGACAGGAGGGAGACAGTGATCACCCCTCTGAGAGACAACAGGAGAGAGAGAAAGACTGAGGGCCTGTTTAGATGATCGAGAATCAGGGTCCACATGGAGATGATCAGAGGAGATATAGAGGGTCAATAAAGACGATCACTGACATGATCAATATTAGAGGAGGGTGAGATCGACTTCAAAACTGAGGGGAAACTCTGATCTTCGTTACGACACCCAAATATAGAAGAGCTGAAAGGGAAATGAGCTCAATAATAAATCTGTTTGATCACATAACATCCACCGAGGACGTCAGCGAGAGAGAGAGAGAGAAAGAGAGAGAGACAGAGAGAGAGAGAGAGAGAGAGAGGGAGAGAGGGAGAGAGAGAGAGAGAGAGACAGAGAGAGAGAGAGGAATAAGAAGTGTTTTATAACCCTCTCTGTGATTTCCTGCTCACCCTTCCTGCTCCGTTGAAGATCTTTTGTCTGATGATGGATTTTTATTTCAGCCGTAGAAAAACTGTTTTCTGTTCACAGGGAGGGAAACGGAGGGAAAATGTCAGAGGAAGCGAAAAACGCACACCTGACAGTGAGTGGTGGCAGGAACAGCCTCTCCTGTCAGACACAGAGCAGGTCTACCACACAGAGATGAAGGATCATCAGCACACCTGCTCTCAGATATAAACACAAACATTCGTCACAAAAACGCAGAGTGAACCTTTAAAACGGAGGGTGCAGCATCTATGATTTCCAGTCCTTCCTTGAAAGTCCTTAAGTCCAGGTGTCCTTCTCCAAAACAGAGTTAGATTTTGATTTTGATCCTCAGAGGAACGGAAAGAAGTCGGTGTAAATTGACACATTAACTTGAATGGTTACGATCAGCTACGATCTGAGGATACGACCTTTTAGGAGACGATCAGGATGAAGGTGGAGTTCGGGGTCAGAGGTCAGCTGAAGGACTTGATCCCTGGAGATGACCCATGAAGAAGTGATTGGAGTCTGTGTATCAAACATCACGTCTGTAGCTGATCATCAGATCAATGTGGACAGTGTTTTGAACTCTTCTAGGGGGCGCCAGAGAGCCAATTTGTTAAAAACTCAGAAATTGTCATTTCCTCACATGACCTGATGGACCGGGACAGTCCTGAACAGAACAAGTCTGTAGATCCAGGTTCAGATGCTGTTTTTATCCTCAGTGACAGGGACGCCGTCTCTCTCTCTCTCTCTCTGTCTCTCTCTCTCTCGCTCTTTTTAAAGCGATGTTAAAACGATAAGGACGCTGACCCGCCTTTGTATCACCAGGAGAGGAAACAGAGATAAGAGCGGACGAAGGCGTGAAGATAATTCAGCAATAGATAGACAACAGAGATAAGTGTTCGGAGTCAGCGTGAGGAAGAGGAGATAAAGAGACAGCAGCAGACGTTTGTCCTCTGTCCTTCACACACAGACACAGACCTGCAGGTACCTACCAGAGGACAGAGGACACCAGATCCAGACTCTGTTTAGTGAAGAGGTTCGAGTCAGTCAGGAAAATAACAGAGAGGAGGTTTCAAAGATTCTCAGTTTGGTTGATTTTCATGTTTTGGCGTCTTCTGAGGGATGACACGCTCTCATTGTTGGAGGACATCTTCAGCCCTGGAGCCCATGAGGGTCCTGCAGAGAAACATGGAGACTACAGCTGAGCGTCTTTGTGTCTGAACAGACTGTTTTTGTTTCACTCAGGTGTGTGTTTTAGTCCTGCTGTCTGGAGACTCTCGGTCTGATTTTTAAAGGATCAGGTTTATATCCAGGATCATGTGTTCTTCTCAGAGTTAAAAGTCTGAATCCATGAGGTGAAGATCATGTTTCCTCCTCCTCTGTCCTCTCAGACTCTGAACGTGTTCGAGGATTCAGTCAGATACTTCAGACCGCAGTCGTCTCTTCATGTTCATCATCAGCTCTGTCTCTGGTTTCACAGAGACACTTTAGAGTCATTCATAGAAACATGAAGACTGTCTCTCCTCACACTCATCTTCATCATCACGCAGACGCAGGATAGAAATACACAGCAGTCTGAGGAGCCGTAAACAAACATCAACCAAAACGCCACTCTATAGCCACAAATAATGCTCAGAACAGCACTTCATCAACAGGACATATAGGGTCACAGACATAGTACTAGATTCAGAGTTGTTGTAAACTCTGGGTCAATAAACTTCTACTGTAGTTAAAATGAAAAGGTAAAGGTGTTTTTATTGAGCCGAATTATCAATAAAATCATGATTTTGTTAACAGGTATGGATTTATGTGCTGTCGAGTTAGTATATGTGAACAAGAGCACAGTAAAGTTAAATCAGCTAATTTTCCAATGAGGTTCTGTTACTAAACGGAACTGCACCATGTTCTCCTCAGGTTAGTACATATAGGGTCACAGACATAGTACTAGACACCAAACATCTTTTTAACTTTGACTCATTTCCTCAGGCCAATCCATTACAGACTACAGCGGGGTGCCGCAGCTCAAGGAAGAACATTTATGATCATTTCTTCATGAAAATACAATCAGACCGAGACGCTAAGACAGAAGAACTACAGCGTCTGTAAAATGATTAATATGGTGATTATTACTTCAAGGAAATGATAAAGAAATGATCATAAATGTTCTTCCTTGAGCTGCAGCACCCTGCTGTAGTCTGTAATGGACTGTCATGATCGTAATCCTGTCATCATATATGTTTTTGTATTTAGTTTTCTCCTGGTTTTGGTCTGTTGAGAGTATTTTCTTTGTGATTTTGACTTCCTCAGTTTTCCCTCCTCTGTGATTGTCCTCACCTGTGTCTCAGTGTCTCACCTTCCTCTCGTTGATCGTTTCCATGAGTGTGTATTTAAAGTCCTTATCTTCTCTGTGTCTTTGTTGGTTCATTGTGAATGTGTGTGTTTGTCGTCTCCAGTGTCTCCCTGTGGTTTTTCAGTTCTTTGGATTTTTTAATCTGACATTTTAAGGAAGTTTTTGTTGCTTTTCTTTCTGTTCAACCTCACAATTCTGAAAACCAGCCTCTTTCTGTTCCTCTTTAAATAGAAACACCACCATCGTCATCATCTTCATCATCATCATCATCATCTTCTTCACAGTGGGTCTGGGATCTTCTTCATCAGCTCTGCAGGTTTCCCCTGAATCCAGGCTGTAAACCATGAAAACAGATGAACGTGTGATGGTGAATGATTGAGTGAAAGTCCTTCAGGGAGACACTTTCACATCTGCTCAGTTTTAGAACAACATCACGAACCAACAACATGCGGAGCTGCTTTTAGAGGAAATACATGTTTTTAAAAACTTTAAAGTGTCAAACTGAAGCAGAGTCAGGACTGTAAAGACGAAGACTCAGAGAGGTTCAGAAACAAACGAAGACGGAGTTTCACTTTTTCTTTTACGGGGAAAAAACGAACTTTTTTTTGGGACATTTAAAGTTTTTAGGTTTGAACTTTGTCTCTTAAACCTGTAGAGACAAAGTCTTTTTTTGGACAGTTAAACAGTGTCTGACTCTCTGATTCTTCCTGCATGTAAATGAGACATCAGTGACTCTCCTGAGTGAGCGGCGCCCCGCAGATATAAACCAGATCCACTCCGAGGAAAGACCAGGACCAGATCTGTTCAAACACTCTGAGTCAGACAGTCAACAAGCAGCAGATCTGTTAATACTGAGCAGACACGCTCACCACGCCAAGTCCTTAATGCCGCTGAGACGCGTCACTGACGGCGTCTCTGACACGTCTTCATAAAAGAGCAAGAAATCCACTCCGCTGACTCACCGCTCAGCGTCACACTGATTGAACCAGACGGACAGTCGAGGAAGTTTTAACCACCGACTGAAAGAACCAGGTCAGGTCAAAATGAGAGTAATTCAGGCTGATAGAGACGTGAGAGGATGATGATGATGATGATGATGATGATGATGATGAAGGAAACGGATCAAGAGAACCAATCAAACACGTCATCCATCTGGACCTTCACCATCATCAAACCCCGAACAGTCGTCATCACGTCCTGTATCAGTGATCAATTCTCCATCTCTTCATGAGGAGAAGGTTTCATTACGGTGAACACCTGAACTCTGTGGATGTCTCTGAGTCTCCTCCTCCTCCTCCTCCTCCTCCTCTTCCTCTCGACTCCTCCATGCTTCATCATCGTTTGTGCCCGTCTGCTCCCATTGGTGCTTTGATTAGGCTGCTTTATTGATAGGGCGTCAGCAGGAGCATCGTTAAACCTCAATGAATTCTCAATGAGGCCAAATGAAGAATCGATGATCCACAAATCACAGACTGGAGCTTTAAATGGAAATGAGCTCAGCTGGGAAACGAAGCTCGTCGTCGTCGTCATCGTCAGCGTCTTCGTCGAGTAGATCACTGATTTCTTTCTTGTGTATTTTGCATCCATGAGAAAGTACCTGCAGGGTTTACAAGACTGCTTCTGAATAATCCCATCATGCACCTTGTTTGTATGATGGTCCCACAGCACACCTGGTGGAAGAGTTCTGAGATCCACGCTGATGACCTGCTCCGTTTTACGCCAAACACCTCAACGTGTTTGTGACAAAGTCACCTGACACCTGTAGCAATCAAGACAACCCTGGATGTGAAACCCACACATTCCTTACAGGAAAGTTTCCTTATCTGGTCCCAGGAAACAGGATATAAATCTTTCCAGACGTGTTTGCACTTTCAGGTTAAATAAGTGACCCAACCGGAGGTTGACTAAACCTCTGACTCTTCAGGATTGGTCAGTTCGGCGAACAGAGACAGAGTTTTTATTACCTTTCAAACTGACTCCATTACTGACCATCTAAATAAACATTAACGTCTCAACCCAGATCTCCCATTTGAGATTTAGCGTCTTAAAGTGTGTGAACATAAGGACCCCAGGAAAAGGGGGGACACTGACCTCCAGACCTCGGTCGTAAAACCCTGCTCGACCATACACTGATAAAGACTGCATTCCTTTGGTGAAAGAATACAAATGACTGATCATGACATCTTATGCATTCAGCAATGTACTAATCTGTCTAATCATGAAATTTGTGTTAAAATGAGATGTTTCCCGTTTTTCTATGTGCTTCAGAAGCCAAGTTATCTTATCTGACAGAATAAATCCTTATTCTTTAGTTCTTTAGACCAACAGCTTTTCAGACTGTTTCATGAACTTTTAAGAGTTAAATTTATTGACTATGAATCCTAAGTTTACTCTAAGTAACAGAAATAGTTTAGAAATGTTTGGTTTATATTTTAGTTATTTATTTAGTATCTTAACCATTAGGTGGTTATAATGTCACTGAATAATCTGAATGTGAGTATTTAGAATCCATTATTAATCACGATGACGTTCATTCACATGTGTTTACTCTTTTGTTGTTCACAGTTTTCATGTGTTACTATCTGTTTCATTTCAGAGTAATTTAGCATGTTCAATGTGATACTTAAAACATAATGAGAATGTTTGATGTGATCCTACACTTCATTCATATGTGTTTAGTATCAAATTATTTATCATGAAACCAAGCATTCAATGATATTAATCATAGTGAGTGAGTATCAGATCTGACTCTTTTACCAGCCAAAAGAATAAGTTAGATCAAATAATCAGAGACCCGATGACCCCCTCCTCTTTCTCCTCAGACACTCCCAGTGTGAGAAGATAAAACCAGTGGAGTGGGGTTGCTCACTCTCTTATCTCTCTTATACTTCTGCTCTTCTGCTGACTCTCTTGTCCCCGGCTCTTATGCCCCTTCTCTTCTGCCCACACCCTTCTGTGGTGCGTTTCTTTATTTTCTCTTAGAACTTTTTCTTAGTCTTCTAAGTTTTACGCCACGTGTTGATTCACGTTGATTTTTCTTTAACATCGTCTTAGTTCAAGTTTTGAAACTTCAACTTTTTGTGCACATAGCAATTCAAGATTAAGCCTTTGATTGATTTTCTTTAATTACGCGAAGCCATTTTTGAAAGTTTTCTCTGCTCTTCGAGCCTCGTTTTTCTGAGTTTTCTGCGTGATTTCAAAGTCACCTCCGAACGCAATCCAACAGGCCCAGGTCATCCTCTGTGCCAGAGTTTTTGAGTGAGACTAAAGAAGTACCCAAACGAGCATCCACAGGATCCACAGGCGCTGGTTTTTGCTTCGGGCCTGAGTGCTGCAACTCCTGGCTCATCCTTCGGCTGACTTCAGTCGTCTTCTGAGCTGAACCGCTCGAACCGCCAGTAGCCCGGACCTTCGGAACCTGCTCCATCTTCTCCAAGGACCAGTCTCACTTAAGTATGCAAACCTCCAGAGCTCTAAAGAGGGCTGGTGCTGTCTCCTGCGTTCAACTCAGATATCCTCTTATTCTGGTAATCTTAGATTCCTCCAAATCCACATCCGAGTTTATCTCGACACTAAAGTTAGTGTAGGTTAATATGTTAGCGCATATTCACTCACTATCATTAACTTTAGTGCTCCTAGCCTGACTCAGAATCTTGATTTATTCACCTATTATTATTTATCTTCATTATCTTATCATCATTTATTGCATGTGTGTTGTACCATCATTTATCCTGTAATAAACAGATAATTATTTTTCTAAGTTCTGGTCTGTTAGTGTTCTTCCAGAAGTGGAGTCCCTGAAATTAGAATTTCGACTTAAGATATGAGACTGATTAATTAAGACTGATTAATTAAGACTGATTAATTAAAACTGACTTGATGTTTGATTTCTGAATTAAACTTTTGTTTTCTTTATTTTCCCACCATTAAGGGTGGGTGGTGCCCCTTTCAACGAGTGCATAAATGTCATAATTTGAGATTATTAATCTTCAGACATTTATTATAAATTCCAATCGCCAAGTATTATTTTGGTGCGGCCTTGTGAGGCTCATTTCAAATCGCTACATATATTTTGGTGCGACCGTATGAGGCTCATTTCAAATCACTACATATATTTTGGAGCCCCTGCGTGAGGCGTTTCAAACAAAACTTCTGGATACTAACAGACAACCTAAAACTTAGCCTTCCAAATTGATGAGAGAAACTTATTTCCAGGCTATTTTAGACTTAATCACAATCAATGCTATGCTTGCTGAAGTTGCTTGACGAAGTTCTGATGTTTTCCTGATCTATGCATAAAACCTTTATGCTCTGTGTTTCACACACTCTTGTACTACATGCCTGTAGTCTGTGTTTGAGCTGGACAGCGTGAAATGTTGTTCTGAGTAGCAGTGAGACTGACTCCTCTGCTCTGTCTAGACTGTCCAATATTTAAGTGCACGATTGTTGCGTCGCCGTACGCTTGTATTTAAGGCCTTTGGCTGAACCCAGTGTTCGCGATGCTCCGAGCTGTGGTTTCAAGCCCCTGAAGTCTCTGTAGTCTGCTATGAGGTTCTAGTAACTATATGGGATTCAGATTTCCTCCTTTCCCCTGACAGATTAGCTACCTGTCACAGGAAACCACTGTAACAGTGGGAGGTTGTTGTTTGATTGAATTCAGACAAAATTTGTGTTCACAAATCGCCGCATTTGTGATTTTTTAAAAAGTCTGCAGTTGAATCTGCTGTTGAGGGATTTGTCACTTTGATTGTTGTCTCTATAGTCTGCTATGAAGTTCTAGTAACTATATGGGATTTAGATTTCCTCCTTTCCCCTGACAGATAAGCTATCTGTCACAGGAAACCACTGTAACAGTGGGAGGTTGTTGTTTGAATGAATTCAGACAAAATCCGTGATCACGAATCGCCGCATTTGTGATTTTAAAGTCTGCAGTTGAATCTGCTGTTGAGGGATTTGTCACTTTGATTCTTGTTCCTGTAAATGATTTTATTGAACCAATCTTCCTGAGCAGATGGTGTAGAGTTCTATGTTTGAGGGTGCAGATGCAGCCTGCTGTGAAATGTTAACCCTTTGTTGTCAGTGGAGAGACTGACCATTTGGCCTTAAGCAGATAAGGCCCTTCAGGAGGCAGAGCCTAAAGGCCCCTTCCTGCATACTTCCCAACTCCTCATAGCCACAAGAGGCTAGTTGGATGACTGTTTCCTCTTTTCTTCTTCTTCTCCACTTGTGTTGAGCTTGTGCAGTTACCCCAACTCCATACTGCCCCACATGGTTGCTTTTGGTATTGAGCTAACAATGTTATCTGCCTGCAGTATCAGCCAGCTGTACTGCCTCCCTGTAGTCAGTGTGTAACACTCTACAGACATAATTCAAGTGATTGACTTGGTTGATGAAGTTTGATGTGCTTATTCTAAATCATTGATCATTGATTTTGATTTTTATCTTTGTTATAAGAGCCTCCATGATGTATTGATAAAGTAACTCATTGAATCGATCACCTGATCTTGTTGTTACTTATCACACCAGTGAGCAGTTTTACTGTTCCCTATAATACATGAATGTATTAACCCTCCTCATAAGATTAATTAATTAATGAACAAATTAATTAATATTTGAAATTTATTTTACCATTTCAGATGAATTGGGTAGTTGAATCTTTAGCTTTATTGCGATTGGTGAATTAATTTCAGAGTTAATTCCTTAAATTGACAATTTCATCGATTTTTCCCAATTCATCCAACTGCACCAGGCAGTTTATTTAAGCTTTGCTGATCTCTGCAACACGGAGACAAACTGAACCCTTTATTCAATGGTTCTGTATCTGATGTTAAATTTAATTTAACATCATTTCATTGTTTTTCAATTTTGATTGAAATGAATTTAACTTTATGTTATTTTTCTCTCCATTAGAGATCTACTCAGATAGGCTCTTCCTCTTTATCAAGCACTGATAAATTAAGTCGATTAACCCACTTAATTTGATATTTTGCTTCTTCCTTTCATTTTAAGTCAACTCAAACTCATCAACCAACCACCTGCACCTCTTTACCAAAACCAAACATGCCTAACACAAAAGAGTCCAGCCAGGGAGACCCCCTGAGGGACATACACACAGTGTTGGCAAACTTGACTGGTCAGCTGATACCTCAGTACATGACTAAGATTCAAAAGGCCAAACCCTCCAATCCGGAGGATGAAATGGCTGACCTACTGGAAACAGCCTTAACCACGACACTTCGTGACAAAGAGCTCACTAGACGCATGTCTGTCGTGATGTCTTCTCAGCTTGAGTATAAAGACTACTTGCTGGAATGCGCTTTAACAAAGATAAAGACGCAAAAAGAAGAAAACAGCGCTCTGAAAAAGACGCTAGAAGAGACTAAGAAGTCTCTAAATGTTTTAGAAAAACACAGTGCCAGATGTGAAGCGTCAAAGCTTCCCTCACTGATAAGTCATGAAGAAAATCTTGATCTCAAAGACAAGATTGAAAGACTTGATAAAACTCTTAACCAAAAAGAGAAAGAACTTGACAAAGCCAATAAGCATCTTGCTAAGACCACAGAGGATCTGATACAGTCAGAATCCCTGCTAGAGCAAGCAACAGAAGATGTAAAAGCTTTGAAAGCACTGGTCAAAGTGCGTGCTGAAGCTCTTGAAGTTAAGGAGAAGCAAACTTCTACCTTACAGCACCAGCTCCAGATAGCTCAAAGACAGTTAATTCTTTGTCAAGAACGGCAAGAAAAGACAGACAAAGGACTTGAAGATGCCCAAAGAGAGTTACAATGCTCCCTCCAGTCAGGTCGAGCCCAAAGAGAACGCATGGAGCAAACGTTTCTTGAAGAAATGATAGGTGATCAGCCTCCTGAGAGAGCGCCATCACTTCCTTCCAAACCAACTCTTAAGTATCTCTCTCAGCATCATGACAGGACCCTGCTTGACCCTGAGAGGTCATCCTTAAACCAACAGTCCTACTCTCCTCCTCATGATGGCTTCTTACCATCTCCCTCAGATAGGGATCTTGACAAAATTGCTCGCAACATAGCACGCTTTGAACCTGAGCACCAAGGTGCTACTGACACCTGCACCTACTTGAAAGACATTGACTTTTACCTGAGGAAATTTCCAGGTGCAACCATTGATGACAAGATCTACCTTATTAAGGCAACGTCAAGTCGAGAGGTTAGCAGTTTCCTTGAACGACAGCCTTATCATGTCAGAAATAATTATGACTTGCTCTGCCAAGCATTAATTGAAGAGTTTTCTGATCATTTGACCCAGACAGGCCTTTCTGCTGCTCTGTCTATTAAACAAGGGAGATCAGAACCTCCCCAACATTATTACAACCGCTTACGCGAAGCTTACTTTGGTTTCCGAAATGAACCAGAAATGGAGGAGGACTTGAACTTCAAAACGCTGTTCGTCCAGAACCTCCACCCTACCACCAGTCATCACCTTGGCGTCTTAGCTTGTCCAAACACTTTGACTAGCCGACAGCTTCGTGAACTTGCTGTAAAAGGTTTTGCCAAACAACGACAAACTTTGGCTAAGAAAGCAGAGCCTGTTACTCTGTTGGCTATGGAGACAAAATCACTGCCCATGGAGCTGAACGAAGCTTCAGATTGTGTATTTTCAGGCTCCGATAAGCCTCCAAATGAGTGGTTAACCAGGCCTCCAAAACCTTTTCGACCTCAACAAACTCACAAAGGTCAAAGTTACACACCAAGGCCCAGGTCTGACACAGACCAATGCCAGGTAAACTTTGAGACCAACTGTTGTTATTCAGACTCCAGTCATGGTGGGTTTTATCCCAGACAAAGGAAAAACCATCAACACCGCCAAAGGGGGGTGAATGACTGGCAGAATCAGAGTAAATCACACTCTCAGAAACGACGATCTTATTATCCACCTCAATCGGTTTCATCCACTTTGAAGGTGAATAAACATGACTACTCAGCTAACCACTGAGATTAACACTGCGGAGTCATGAAGGTGTGAGTCCTGCGAAAGCAGAAGTCACCCAGCCAAAGCTAAATGACTCCAATAAGATATCCAAATGCTGTGGTGATACATTGATGACTGCAACCCCAGTTGCTGCTTTCTTTGTTAGCATTTGTCTCTCCTCTGTCAATATGGTCAGCTTGTCAGCTGTCGAATATCTCATCAACAGATTAAAAGCTGAAATTTCTGTCATTAAGACTCAGATTGACAAATTTCAGACTCAACAGCAGATAATTAGTCAAACCGGTAAGAGCATCATCCCCAAGTTTAACAGACAAAGTTTAAGAGAAACTCTGTGCAGTAAACTTTTGATGTTTTTGATTCAGGTTGACTATGCTCATACACAGATGGTTAATATGTCTATAGCAGACATTTCTTTTCCACCTAAGTCTTAACCATTTTTGAAACTGAAATTGAACTTTCAGACTTCTCCAGCAAGCATGGAAAACAGCTATATCTTTAGATCCAGTTAGCATTCAGACTAAATAGTGCTTTCCTAAATCTCATTAATACTGAAAATTAGGAGATTTTCTTTCACATTAGTCTACCAATAGTTAACTGAGAAAAGTCTAACAACAAGACTATTTTATTTGATAGCTTAATGCATGCTTAATTTTATCTCAAAGCAGTACTAGTGATTCACATAGTGATGACGAGACGCATCAGTCCTATTTGCATACACCTGCTGCTGCTTCATGGTTGTCTACTCGTCGTCCCGATGCTCCATGGACAGGACCACCGTGACGAAGGGGGGACTGTAGCAATCAAGACAACCCTGGATGTGAAACCCACACATTCCTTACAGGAAAGTTTCCTTATCTGGTCCCAGGAAACAGGATATAAATCTTTCCAGACGTGTTTGCACTTTCAGGTTAAATAAGTGACCCAACCGGAGGTTGACTAAACCTCTGACTCTTCAGGATTGGTCAGTTCGGCGAACAGAGACAGAGTTTTTATTACCTTTCAAACTGACTCCATTACTGACCATCTAAATAAACATTAACGTCTCAACCCAGATCTCCCATTTGAGATTTAGCGTCTTAAAGTGTGTGAACATACGGACCCCAGGATAAGGGGGGACACTGACCTCCAGACCTCGGTCGTAAAACCCTGCTCGACCATACACTGATAAAGACTGCATTCCTTTGGTGAAAGAATACAAATGACTGATCATGACATCTTATGCATTCAGCAATGTACTAATCTGTCTAATCATGAAATTTGTGTTAAAATGAGATGTTTCCCGTTTTTCTATGTGCTTCAGAAGCCAAGTTATCTTATCTGACAGAATAAATCCTTATTCTTTAGTTCTTTAGACCAACAGCTTTTCAGACTGTTTCATGAACTTTTAAGAGTTAAATTTATTGACTATGAATCCTAAGTTTACTCTAAGTAACAGAAATAGTTTAGAAATGTTTGGTTTATATTTTAGTTATTTATTTAGTATCTTAACCATTAGGTGGTTATAATGTCACTGAATAATCTGAATGTGAGTATTTAGAATCCATTATTAATCACGATGACGTTCATTCACATGTGTTTACTCTTTTGTTGTTCACAGTTTTCATGTGTTACTATCTGTTTCATTTCAGAGTAATTTAGCATGTTCAATGTGATACTTAAAACATAATGAGAATGTTTGATGTGATCCTACACTTCATTCATATGTGTTTAGTATCAAATTATTTATCATGAAACCAAGCATTCAATGATATTAATCATAGTGAGTGAGTATCAGATCTGACTCTTTTACCAGCCAAAAGAATAAGTTAGATCAAATAATCAGAGACCCGATGACCCCCTCCTCTTTCTCCTCAGACACTCCCAGTGTGAGAAGATAAAACCAGTGGAGTGGGGTTGCTCACTCTCTTATCTCTCTTATACTTCTGCTCTTCTGCTGACTCTCTTGTCCCCGGCTCTTATGCCCCTTCTCTTCTGCCCACACCCTTCTGTGGTGCGTTTCTTTATTTTCTCTTAGAACTTTTTCTTAGTCTTCTAAGTTTTACGCCACGTGTTGATTCACGTTGATTTTTCTTTAACATCGTCTTAGTTCAAGTTTTGAAACTTCAACTTTTTGTGCACATAGCAATTCAAGATTAAGCCTTTGATTGATTTTCTTTAATTACGCGAAGCCATTTTTGAAAGTTTTCTCTGCTCTTCGAGCCTCGTTTTTCTGAGTTTTCTGCGTGATTTCAAAGTCACCTCCGAACGCAATCCAACAGGCCCAGGTCATCCTCTGTGCCAGAGTTTTTGAGTGAGACTAAAGAAGTACCCAAACGAGCATCCACAGGATCCACAGGCGCTGGTTTTTGCTTCGGGCCTGAGTGCTGCAACTCCTGGCTCATCCTTCGGCTGACTTCAGTCGTCTTCTGAGCTGAACCGCTCGAACCGCCAGTAGCCCGGACCTTCGGAACCTGCTCCATCTTCTCCAAGGACCAGTCTCACTTAAGTATGCAAACCTCCAGAGCTCTAAAGAGGGCTGGTGCTGTCTCCTGCGTTCAACTCAGATATCCTCTTATTCTGGTAATCTTAGATTCCTCCAAATCCACATCCGAGTTTATCTCGACACTAAAGTTAGTGTAGGTTAATATGTTAGCGCATATTCACTCACTATCATTAACTTTAGTGCTCCTAGCCTGACTCAGAATCTTGATTTATTCACCTATTATTATTTATCTTCATTATCTTATCATCATTTATTGCATGTGTGTTGTACCATCATTTATCCTGTAATAAACAGATAATTATTTTTCTAAGTTCTGGTCTGTTAGTGTTCTTCCAGAAGTGGAGTCCCTGAAATTAGAATTTCGACTTAAGATATGAGACTGATTAATTAAGACTGATTAATTAAGACTGATTAATTAAAACTGACTTGATGTTTGATTTCTGAATTAAACTTTTGTTTTCTTTATTTTCCCACCATTAAGGGTGGGTGGTGCCCCTTTCAACGAGTGCATAAATGTCATAATTTGAGATTATTAATCTTCAGACATTTATTATAAATTCCAATCGCCAAGTATTATTTTGGTGCGGCCTTGTGAGGCTCATTTCAAATCGCTACATATATTTTGGTGCGACCGTATGAGGCTCATTTCAAATCACTACATATATTTTGGAGCCCCTGCGTGAGGCGTTTCAAACAAAACTTCTGGATACTAACAGACAACCTAAAACTTAGCCTTCCAAATTGATGAGAGAAACTTATTTCCAGGCTATTTTAGACTTAATCACAATCAATGCTATGCTTGCTGAAGTTGCTTGACGAAGTTCTGATGTTTTCCTGATCTATGCATAAAACCTTTATGCTCTGTGTTTCACACACTCTTGTACTACATGCCTGTAGTCTGTGTTTGAGCTGGACAGCGTGAAATGTTGTTCTGAGTAGCAGTGAGACTGACTCCTCTGCTCTGTCTAGACTGTCCAATATTTAAGTGCACGATTGTTGCGTCGCCGTACGCTTGTATTTAAGGCCTTTGGCTGAACCCAGTGTTCGCGATGCTCCGAGCTGTGGTTTCAAGCCCCTGAAGTCTCTGTAGTCTGCTATGAGGTTCTAGTAACTATATGGGATTCAGATTTCCTCCTTTCCCCTGACAGATTAGCTACCTGTCACAGGAAACCACTGTAACAGTGGGAGGTTGTTGTTTGATTGAATTCAGACAAAATTTGTGTTCACAAATCGCCGCATTTGTGATTTTTTAAAAAGTCTGCAGTTGAATCTGCTGTTGAGGGATTTGTCACTTTGATTGTTGTCTCTATAGTCTGCTATGAAGTTCTAGTAACTATATGGGATTTAGATTTCCTCCTTTCCCCTGACAGATAAGCTATCTGTCACAGGAAACCACTGTAACAGTGGGAGGTTGTTGTTTGAATGAATTCAGACAAAATCCGTGATCACGAATCGCCGCATTTGTGATTTTAAAGTCTGCAGTTGAATCTGCTGTTGAGGGATTTGTCACTTTGATTCTTGTTCCTGTAAATGATTTTATTGAACCAATCTTCCTGAGCAGATGGTGTAGAGTTCTATGTTTGAGGGTGCAGATGCAGCCTGCTGTGAAATGTTAACCCTTTGTTGTCAGTGGAGAGACTGACCATTTGGCCTTAAGCAGATAAGGCCCTTCAGGAGGCAGAGCCTAAAGGCCCCTTCCTGCATACTTCCCAACTCCTCATAGCCACAAGAGGCTAGTTGGATGACTGTTTCCTCTTTTCTTCTTCTTCTCCACTTGTGTTGAGCTTGTGCAGTTACCCCAACTCCATACTGCCCCACATGGTTGCTTTTGGTATTGAGCTAACAATGTTATCTGCCTGCAGTATCAGCCAGCTGTACTGCCTCCCTGTAGTCAGTGTGTAACACTCTACAGACATAATTCAAGTGATTGACTTGGTTGATGAAGTTTGATGTGCTTATTCTAAATCATTGATCATTGATTTTGATTTTTATCTTTGTTATAAGAGCCTCCATGATGTATTGATAAAGTAACTCATTGAATCGATCACCTGATCTTGTTGTTACTTATCACACCAGTGAGCAGTTTTACTGTTCCCTATAATACATGAATGTATTAACCCTCCTCATAAGATTAATTAATTAATGAACAAATTAATTAATATTTGAAATTTATTTTACCATTTCAGATGAATTGGGTAGTTGAATCTTTAGCTTTATTGCGATTGGTGAATTAATTTCAGAGTTAATTCCTTAAATTGACAATTTCATCGATTTTTCCCAATTCATCCAACTGCACCAGGCAGTTTATTTAAGCTTTGCTGATCTCTGCAACACGGAGACAAACTGAACCCTTTATTCAATGGTTCTGTATCTGATGTTAAATTTAATTTAACATCATTTCATTGTTTTTCAATTTTGATTGAAATGAATTTAACTTTATGTTATTTTTCTCTCCATTAGAGATCTACTCAGATAGGCTCTTCCTCTTTATCAAGCACTGATAAATTAAGTCGATTAACCCACTTAATTTGATATTTTGCTTCTTCCTTTCATTTTAAGTCAACTCAAACTCATCAACCAACCACCTGCACCTCTTTACCAAAACCAAACATGCCTAACACAAAAGAGTCCAGCCAGGGAGACCCCCTGAGGGACATACACACAGTGTTGGCAAACTTGACTGGTCAGCTGATACCTCAGTACATGACTAAGATTCAAAAGGCCAAACCCTCCAATCCGGAGGATGAAATGGCTGACCTACTGGAAACAGCCTTAACCACGACACTTCGTGACAAAGAGCTCACTAGACGCATGTCTGTCGTGATGTCTTCTCAGCTTGAGTATAAAGACTACTTGCTGGAATGCGCTTTAACAAAGATAAAGACGCAAAAAGAAGAAAACAGCGCTCTGAAAAAGACGCTAGAAGAGACTAAGAAGTCTCTAAATGTTTTAGAAAAACACAGTGCCAGATGTGAAGCGTCAAAGCTTCCCTCACTGATAAGTCATGAAGAAAATCTTGATCTCAAAGACAAGATTGAAAGACTTGATAAAACTCTTAACCAAAAAGAGAAAGAACTTGACAAAGCCAATAAGCATCTTGCTAAGACCACAGAGGATCTGATACAGTCAGAATCCCTGCTAGAGCAAGCAACAGAAGATGTAAAAGCTTTGAAAGCACTGGTCAAAGTGCGTGCTGAAGCTCTTGAAGTTAAGGAGAAGCAAACTTCTACCTTACAGCACCAGCTCCAGATAGCTCAAAGACAGTTAATTCTTTGTCAAGAACGGCAAGAAAAGACAGACAAAGGACTTGAAGATGCCCAAAGAGAGTTACAATGCTCCCTCCAGTCAGGTCGAGCCCAAAGAGAACGCATGGAGCAAACGTTTCTTGAAGAAATGATAGGTGATCAGCCTCCTGAGAGAGCGCCATCACTTCCTTCCAAACCAACTCTTAAGTATCTCTCTCAGCATCATGACAGGACCCTGCTTGACCCTGAGAGGTCATCCTTAAACCAACAGTCCTACTCTCCTCCTCATGATGGCTTCTTACCATCTCCCTCAGATAGGGATCTTGACAAAATTGCTCGCAACATAGCACGCTTTGAACCTGAGCACCAAGGTGCTACTGACACCTGCACCTACTTGAAAGACATTGACTTTTACCTGAGGAAATTTCCAGGTGCAACCATTGATGACAAGATCTACCTTATTAAGGCAACGTCAAGTCGAGAGGTTAGCAGTTTCCTTGAACGACAGCCTTATCATGTCAGAAATAATTATGACTTGCTCTGCCAAGCATTAATTGAAGAGTTTTCTGATCATTTGACCCAGACAGGCCTTTCTGCTGCTCTGTCTATTAAACAAGGGAGATCAGAACCTCCCCAACATTATTACAACCGCTTACGCGAAGCTTACTTTGGTTTCCGAAATGAACCAGAAATGGAGGAGGACTTGAACTTCAAAACGCTGTTCGTCCAGAACCTCCACCCTACCACCAGTCATCACCTTGGCGTCTTAGCTTGTCCAAACACTTTGACTAGCCGACAGCTTCGTGAACTTGCTGTAAAAGGTTTTGCCAAACAACGACAAACTTTGGCTAAGAAAGCAGAGCCTGTTACTCTGTTGGCTATGGAGACAAAATCACTGCCCATGGAGCTGAACGAAGCTTCAGATTGTGTATTTTCAGGCTCCGATAAGCCTCCAAATGAGTGGTTAACCAGGCCTCCAAAACCTTTTCGACCTCAACAAACTCACAAAGGTCAAAGTTACACACCAAGGCCCAGGTCTGACACAGACCAATGCCAGGTAAACTTTGAGACCAACTGTTGTTATTCAGACTCCAGTCATGGTGGGTTTTATCCCAGACAAAGGAAAAACCATCAACACCGCCAAAGGGGGTGAATGACTGGCAGAATCAGAGTAAATCACACTCTCAGAAACGACGATCTTATTATCCACCTCAATCGGTTTCATCCACTTTGAAGGTGAATAAACATGACTACTCAGCTAACCACTGAGATTAACACTGCGGAGTCATGAAGGTGTGAGTCCTGCGAAAGCAGAAGTCACCCAGCCAAAGCTAAATGACTCCAATAAGATATCCAAATGCTGTGGTGATACATTGATGACTGCAACCCCAGTTGCTGCTTTCTTTGTTAGCATTTGTCTCTCCTCTGTCAATATGGTCAGCTTGTCAGCTGTCGAATATCTCATCAACAGATTAAAAGCTGAAATTTCTGTCATTAAGACTCAGATTGACAAATTTCAGACTCAACAGCAGATAATTAGTCAAACCGGTAAGAGCATCATCCCCAAGTTTAACAGACAAAGTTTAAGAGAAACTCTGTGCAGTAAACTTTTGATGTTTTTGATTCAGGTTGACTATGCTCATACACAGATGGTTAATATGTCTATAGCAGACATTTCTTTTCCACCTAAGTCTTAACCATTTTTGAAACTGAAATTGAACTTTCAGACTTCTCCAGCAAGCATGGAAAACAGCTATATCTTTAGATCCAGTTAGCATTCAGACTAAATAGTGCTTTCCTAAATCTCATTAATACTGAAAATTAGGAGATTTTCTTTCACATTAGTCTACCAATAGTTAACTGAGAAAAGTCTAACAACAAGACTATTTTATTTGATAGCTTAATGCATGCTTAATTTTATCTCAAAGCAGTACTAGTGATTCACATAGTGATGACGAGACGCATCAGTCCTATTTGCATACACCTGCTGCTGCTTCATGGTTGTCTACTCGTCGTCCCGATGCTCCATGGACAGGACCACCGTGACGAAGGGGGGACTGTAGCAATCAAGACAACCCTGGATGTGAAACCCACACATTCCTTACAGGAAAGTTTCCTTATCTGGTCCCAGGAAACAGGATATAAATCTTTCCAGACGTGTTTGCACTTTCAGGTTAAATAAGTGACCCAACCGGAGGTTGACTAAACCTCTGACTCTTCAGGATTGGTCAGTTCGGCGAACAGAGACAGAGTTTTTATTACCTTTCAAACTGACTCCATTACTGACCATCTAAATAAACATTAACGTCTCAACCCAGATCTCCCATTTGAGATTTAGCGTCTTAAAGTGTGTGAACATACGGACCCCAGGATAAGGGGGGACACTGACCTCCAGACCTCGGTCGTAAAACCCTGCTCGACCATACACTGATAAAGACTGCATTCCTTTGGTGAAAGAATACAAATGACTGATCATGACATCTTATGCATTCAGCAATGTATTAATCTGTCTAATCATGAAATTTGTGTTAAAATGAGATGTTTCCCGTTTTTCTATGTGCTTCAGAAGCCAAGTTATCTTATCTGACAGAATAAATCCTTATTCTTTAGTTCTTTAGACCAACAGCTTTTCAGACTGTTTCATGAACTTTTAAGAGTTAAATTTATTGACTATGAATCCTAAGTTTACTCTAAGTAACAGAAATAGTTTAGAAATGTTTGGTTTATATTTTAGTTATTTATTTAGTATCTTAACCATTAGGTGGTTATAATGTCACTGAATAATCTGAATGTGAGTATTTAGAATCCATTATTAATCACGATGACGTTCATTCACATGTGTTTACTCTTTTGTTGTTCACAGTTTTCATGTGTTACTATCTGTTTCATTTCAGAGTAATTTAGCATGTTCAATGTGATACTTAAAACATAATGAGAATGTTTGATGTGATCCTACACTTCATTCATATGTGTTTAGTATCAAATTATTTATCATGAAACCAAGCATTCAATGATATTAATCATAGTGAGTGAGTATCAGATCTGACTCTTTTACCAGCCAAAAGAATAAGTTAGATCAAATAATCAGAGACCCGATGACCCCCTCCTCTTTCTCCTCAGACACTCCCAGTGTGAGAAGATAAAACCAGTGGAGTGGGGTTGCTCACTCTCTTATCTCTCTTATACTTCTGCTCTTCTGCTGACTCTCTTGTCCCCAGCTCTTATGCCCCTTCTCTTCTGCCCACACCCTTCTGTGGTGCGTTTCTTTATTTTCTCTTAGAACTTTTTCTTAGTCTTCTAAGTTTTACGCCACGTGTTGATTCACGTTGATTTTTCTTTAACATCGTCTTAGTTCAAGTTTTGAAACTTCAACTTTTTGTGCACATAGCAATTCAAGATTAAGCCTTTGATTGATTTTCTTTAATTACGCGAAGCCATTTTTGAAAGTTTTCTCTGCTCTTCGAGCCTCGTTTTTCTGAGTTTTCTGCATGATTTCAAAGTCACCTCCGAACGCAATCCAACAGGCCCAGGTCATCCTCTGTGCCAGAGTTTTTGAGTGAGACTAAAGAAGTACCCAAACGAGCATCCACAGGATCCACAGGCGCTGGTTTTTGCTTCGGGCCTGAGTGCTGCAACTCCTGGCTCATCCTTCGGCTGACTTCAGTCGTCTTCTGAGCTGAACCGCTCGAACCGCCAGTAGCCCGGACCTTCGGAACCTGCTCCATCTTCTCCAAGGACCAGTCTCACTTAAGTATGCAAACCTCCAGAGCTCTAAAGAGGGCTGGTGCTGTCTCCTGCGTTCAACTCAGATATCCTCTTATTCTGGTAATCTTAGATTCCTCCAAATCCACATCCGAGTTTATCTCGACACTAAAGTTAGTGTAGGTTAATATGTTAGCGCATATTCACTCACTATCATTAACTTTAGTGCTCCTAGCCTGACTCAGAATCTTGATTTATTCACCTATTATTATTTATCTTCATTATCTTATCATCATTTATTGCATGTGTGTTGTACCATCATTTATCCTGTAATAAACAGATAATTATTTTTCTAAGTTCTGGTCTGTTAGTGTTCTTCCAGAAGTGGAGTCCCTGAAATTAGAATTTCGACTTAAGATATGAGACTGATTAATTAAGACTGATTAATTAAGACTGATTAATTAAAACTGACTTGATGTTTGATTTCTGAATTAAACTTTTGTTTTCTTTATTTTCCCACCATTAAGGGTGGGTGGTGCCCCTTTCAACGAGTGCATAAATGTCATAATTTGAGATTATTAATCTTCAGACATTTATTATAAATTCCAATCGCCAAGTATTATTTTGGTGCGGCCTTGTGAGGCTCATTTCAAATCGCTACATATATTTTGGTGCGACCGTATGAGGCTCATTTCAAATCACTACACACCCGTGTTGGCGCCCCTGGGTGTGCACCATAGACTGTATCTAGAATGGACGCTGTCTGCCTCCTCGCTGGGTGATACCACTCAGAGAACAGCGCCCTCTGGTGACGGGCTGCAGTATAGGTCATAAACCCCGCCTCCTCCAGACAAACTTTATAAATTAAACTCTATCAATGAATCGATGGTTGTAGATGGTTTAATAAGCCATCTCAACACTAGAGTCTAGTCCTCTGCCTCTTCAAACTTGGAGATAATTGTTTCAGCAGAAATTGTCCAACAGACATCTGAAAAAGTTGAAGTAGACTCCATTTTTGTCTTCTCGCTTCCACCCAGGACGCTGTAGGTTGTTAAGGGAAGGTCCCGCCCTCCTTCGCCTCTGATTGGCTGTAAGTGCTGACCGTTTGGCTTGAGTGTGTGATGACGTTTCCAGATTTTTTAGCCAATCAGAGGCGCAGGAGGCGGGACTTTCCCCCAGAAAAGTCTTCCCCGGGATTCATCTTTTTCCCCCCGGAAAATTGCATCAAGCTTAATGTGTATACTCAGGTGTGTCAAAATTCGCCTCAGAATATTTCGTGTTCTATGTTTGTGTGTGAGGACCTTAACAGTGAATCTGAGACTCTCCACAGACTGGTGACTGAGTCCTGGTCCAGGTTTTTTAAAGGATCAGGACCAACAGTTTATTTAGCTGCAGACTATAAAACTAATGAAAGTTAAAGATGTTCCTGTTCTGTGAAGCTCTGTGTATAACTCTATAAATAACCTGACTCTGTTGCATCATTCGTTATGATGTTGCGTCACATTGAATCATTCTGACTTATTTCTCATCACATGGTTTTGTCTCCCGTCTGAACACCTCAGGATGGTTCTGCTCCTGGTCTGAAATCTGAGCTGAAGGGGTCTTCAGATCCTCCTGGACTCTAACCGAGTCCACGTCCGCAGTAACCAGAGGAGACTTCCTCTGACTCCAACAGATCCAGATAAGGATGAAAAACACTTCCTCGTTCTTTCATATGTGAGCGTTTTTAATTAGAGATTATCTGTGGGACCCCCCGGTGGTGTGTGAGAGAGAGGGTCCTCAGAGACGCAGTGACAGATTTTACCCTCTGATGTCTTTAACATTCATCTCTCTTCACTTTGAAGTCTCTCCTCTCAAACTCGGAGCCGTTCTTCAGTTAATGTGGAAAAAAAGAGGAGATGATCTTATCGGAGGGCATTATTCCTCCTCCCTGTTCCTCTCGAACCCTCATCGTTTTTCAGTAAAAGCTGATAGCTGCTGGAGGATTTCTCAGTAAGAGCTGATAGGGTTTATTGTCTGTGGACTGTTGGAGTTTTAAAACCGCGAATAACAAAAACGTACAGAAGAAGAAAACTTCTCCAGGAGTTAACTTCCTGAGCGTGAACAATCTTATCAGCTCCGTCATAATCAGACTGACGGGACGGTCCGAAGTTTCGCCTCGTCTGCACAAAAACACAAAAGTCCTAAAAACTCCAAATTCTTTCAGATAGACTCTCTAATATTATTATATTATTGACATCTCTGTTTTTAACTGGTTTGAATCTTATCTTAGTGACGGACAACTTAGCGTGAACCTCAGGGATCGCTCATTTAGACATGAAGTGTACGGTGTTCCTCAAGGCTCCATTTCAGGACCTTCTCTTTTTAATCTTCACATGTCACCTTTAGAAAATGTCGTCAGGAGGTTCAGCATCAATCAGAACCACTCGACGCCCCTTTTTAACTGCACTTTAGACGTTAAATCATGGATGTCAGAGAACTTTTAACAGCTCAACCAGGACAAACTCAGGTTTTAGTCATCGGGACAGGAGAGAGAAACTGGTCAGTAAACTCACAGTACTGTCCTATAATCCAAGTCAAAGAGCTCAAAATGTAGGAGTTTTATTTGATTCAGAACTGAGTTTGAGCCTCACATACGAGATTTCACAGAGAAGGTATTTTATCAGTTAAAAAACAAAACCAGAGTGCGACTGTTTCTCTCTCAAGTCAACGCAGAGACATGAATTCATGCTTTCATCACCTGTAGAATAGATTATTGTCCTAAAAGAACATTTCACAGTTACTCCAAAATTCAGCTGCATGGATGTTAACCAGGACCAGAAAGAGAGATCACATTACACTCTTTTAGAACAGATTTTAAGTCTGTTTTACTGGTTTTTAAAGCTCTTCATGTCTTTGGTCCTTCTTATTTATCTTCTGAGTCAGGTAGAGTCCTCAGGTCTTCAGGAAGTTCTCTGTTCACATTATTAAAGTTAAAACTAAAACATACGCTGAGACATCGTTTTATTACTACGACCCCGTCTGTGGAACAGCTGACCTGAAGACCTGAGGACTGAAACTGATCTGAATGACTTTAAAACTGAACTGAAAACAAACCTTTTTAGTCTCTTTACTAAATTTTATATCATGAACTTTAAGTGTTTTATCATTTATCTCTTTCTATATTTAACGACAGGATCCTCTTTTATTTTGTTGCTCTTATTTTAGTGTCTTTTACTGTTGTTTTCATTTTATTTATTTCTTAAATTTTTCATTTCTTTGTTTTTAGATTTTAACCCTCCAGTGTTTCTTGAGTTTTAAAATGACATTTCCTCAGATTAAAGCTCTTTTTAAGTTGATGTATTTTAATTCTGTTTCTGTTTCGTTTAGATTGTGGGAATTAGGGGTTGGATTGGGGTAGATTTTGGTTTTCTTTGTGCTGCATGGTTGTGTATGTAAAGTACGTTATAAATAAAGACTGATTGATTGATTTAAAGTTTCAAGTCTGTTTTTTTTTTTATGTAATCAGATAAAAATGTACCCGATGACTCTGCGGACAGACAGAAACCCTCTGTCAGTTTTTTGACTCCTGTTCTTTTGAATGTTTTAGTTTCTCCGTCCCCGTCAGTCGGAGCTGTTTACAGAAAACTCTCCTCCCTCCAGTCGGAGTTAAATTTAGATTTCAGAAATGAGCTCATTTGATTCACTTCATCTGCTTTATCTCTCTCTGGTTTGTGTGTGATGATAAGTTTAGACTCAGCTCAGGCCCTGCAGGAGCACAGTCAAACAGAAGCATGTGTCCGAGCGGGGCCGAGCGGACAGATGTGTGTCAGCTGGGACTTATTTTTGGACCTGCAGGGAAGTGGGGCTGGCTGCTCCCTCTCTGCAGAAACAAAACACACTCATGTCCTCAGCATGTTCTTACATAACACAAACACTTCCAAACAAGGATTTCTGCATCACTTGTGGGTCTGTGGATGTGGACGCTCGCCCCGGACTCCAGAAGTGGGTCAGCTGGGTCTGATGGAGGTTGATTCAGTCTCTCCTTCTTCCACTCCAGGCGCCTGTTTGTTAACGACTCCAGGATCCGAGGGGAAACACTCCAACCTCTCATTTTCTGCCTCAGTGAGATCATTTAAACACTCATGATGAAGACGAGGATGAGGATGAGGAGAGTCCCTGCAGCTCAGACCTCCTCACTCTCATTTCAAAGATTTACATCCTGCTGAACTCGGAGTCTGTGAATGAAGGAGTGAATGAGAGTGAATGAGAGTGAATATGAGGAAACTGACGAACTGACCTCAGACTGAAGACCAGGTCTTTGTTGGTCCGAGGTGCCCACCATACACTGTACGGACAACTTGGCTCCGCCTATCGTCAATATACGAAATTGATGCAGAATTTCTCTGTATTTCCGGATTTTCTCCACTTCCTGAAACCAACATCGCGCAGTAGAGTCGCACGCATTCGGCGGGAGAGTCATCGAGTCGCTGTGATCATAGATATCTAAACACTAGATGTCTTGCTCATTCTCTCTCCGTCGTCTCCTGTGCCTCGATCGTAAAACACCGGTGCATCACTTCTGTTGTTGCTTTTTTTATTTGCATCCTTTTATTTTTGTAGTGAGCAACTTTTTTTGTGTGTCCTTAACCTCCGTTGTGGCTTTTTTTTTTTTTTTAAATGCACAGTTTCTTTCTTTTTTTTATTTGCAGCAGTGTCGGTTCTCGGCCACCGTAGTGGAGGGTCCCAGTTTCTCTGTAAATAGTCTCTCAGTTTCTTCACTCTGGTTTCCTTCAGCAGTTTGATCCTGAAACAGAAGCTGATGTTCTGGAGATGTTCTCCTCATTAACGGGTCTTTAGTTTGCTAAAATAACAACATCATGATGCAGATCAAGACAAAGTCGAGTTTTGTCAGTCTGTCCTCAAGAGGAGAAGAAAACTAAATTTGTTGAAAGGAGGTCAGATTATCACTTGACATCAGGGAAGTCAGGAAATCTGAACTCTGATCGTCTTTTAAAGCAGTTATCAGTTTGAGGAAATCTAGAGTGTGTTTATCAGGAGGATGCAAATGTGGAGAAAGAGAGAAACACTCTTAATCATCTGCATTAAAACAACGTTGGAGTCAAATTAAGCTGCATAATTTAGTTTGATTGTATAATTACAGACATGAAATAAGAAGAAAGTGTTTCAGGATGGAGACGGTGAAGAGAAGTGACACCTCCTGGTCTCTGTTAGATCTCTTCATTTTCAGACGCCGTCCTCAGAGGACTGAGAGCAGCTCTCCACAGACCTGAGCGTCCACAGGTTGTTCAGGTTGTTCAGGTTGTTGTTGTTGCCATGAGCGATGAGCGAGATGCTTCCACATGTGGTCGTCTGACTCATACCTGCATGAGTCAGGAGAAGAGGAAAGGAGAGCGAGGAAGGATTGGGCTTTTAGTGAACCACAGAGCGAGGACATTATCTTAAACGGCGAGGGAGACGGGAGTCACGACTTTTCATTTTACTACGGAAACAGGACGAGTGTTTTCAGCTGCATAATGACGACCTGAGTTAACGCCACAAAAAGCTCATTTCCTCTCGTTCTGCTTTCTTCAGCATGAGGAGGATTTCCTGAACTCAAATAACCTCCAAAGAAACAGACGCAGCAGCTTTAGGACGCGATGGACCGAGAGATTCTCGTCTTTACTGTTCAGACGACTAATCTGCAGCATCTGAGAGAAGTTATCAGAGTAATAAACCCGTAAATCTGAGAGATTAGGTCATTCAGACAAAGACAGGAAAGGTCAAAGCAGGTGAAGACTCACCTGTTCGATGAGCTCACTGTCCTCTCATCTCCACACCGACTGTAATCTGTAATCTGTAATAAATTAAATTTAGTTTGCTCGCTCTCTTCTAACCGCTCAATCTGGTGCATTTGTTGTTTCTTTCTTTTACAGCTCGCAGACATGGCGCTCACATGTTCCTCCGCCTGCTGCGTGATGATCATCTGCAGGCTTCAGAAGAGAGAAACGATGATCCCGACAGCGGCGATGACATGCTGTTTACCTTCAAGACAACAGCTGGAGATGAAGATGAAGATGAAGATGAAGAAGAAGAGAGAGGAGAAACGTCTGTTCAGACCGGAGCAGGAGAGAGAAGATCGGATCATCTCCTGAAGAACAGAAGTGAATGAATGTTCTGAATCAGCAGTGACTGTCGAAAGCTGAAGAAGCTGAAGAACTGGATCTTTGAGCGTGCGTCTGTTCTTCTTCTTCTTCTTCTGTGTTTGTACGCTGCTGTCTGTGTTTGCTGCTCCTCAGCACTGTTGCATGATGGGAAATATAACACTTTCGTACCAGAGACTCAAAATGATCGTATTTTGGGGAAAATGATCGTACACCCGTCATAATCAAAACAACAATCTTACTGTTGCGTGATGGTCACTCCTCCTGACCTCCGCCCTCTCTCTCTCTCTCTGTTTTTTATTTGTACTCAGCTGTTCCTCCTCCCTCTCTCTCTCTCTCTCTCTCTCTCTCTCTCTCTCTCTCTCTCTCTCTCACCCTCCCTCTTTCTCTCTCTCTCCCTCACTCACTCCATCTCGCTTTAAGCCGTTCGGCACTTTGTCTCTTCGGCAGCAGGTGAGGCAGATTAAGCTGAATTAGTTCCTGGCAGACCTGCAGCACCTCCACCTGAGTCATCCTCTTTTCCTCTCTCCTCTGTCTTTCTCCTGCGTCACGCTCCTCCTCCTCCTCTTCTTCACCTCCTTCACTCTTTCTTCCTCCTGTAAGCCTGTAAACACGATCATATAAACTGAAACTCCTCGGAGGATTTCACTCTGAGTACGTTGGCATCATTTCTCTGACGGTTTACAGTCAGACCGATTTAAAGTTTCTGTCTGTGAGGAAACATCGGTGTTTAATCCACACTTTGATCATCAGTTTAACGGTTATTGATCACATTCATCACGTCTGCTTCCTCAGACTGATGGGACTGACAGCTCTCCTCCGTCTGAGTCCGATCAGAGCTGATGATCTGTGTGTCTCTGGGTTTATACCTGTCTTATATTAACTGACCAACATGTCTGCGGTTTATAATGAGTGTATGAAATATTGATGCCCACTTCCTGATGAACCTGCAGGAGCTGGAGCTGCTTCATTAAAAGAGAAACACAAATGGAAATTCACTTTCTGGCCTCAGGGAGGAAACTATCACACAGCAGTTTGTCTTTATGTTTGGTTGTTCAGTTTTACAGTCATCTCATTTTTGTTTTTCACGCTCTCTCCCACCTGTCTTTTCCCTCACTTTTAGAGGTGTCCTTGTAAAACAAAGTCAGAGGAGAAAAACAAAGAAATACGATGATAAACGTCTGTGGAAAAGAAAGAAAAGAGGAAAGTGAGGAAATGAAAATAGGAGTATGAAAGAGATGACGACAGTTTTTCATTTTATTCTGGTAAATCCTTTCCTGAAGTTTGTAAACCATGTCAGGCAGCATGGTGGGTTTTTTCTTGCATGTATGAAACATAAAATACTTGAATGTCTGATTGATTTTCTGTCAAATGTTTGGATTGTTTATGTTAAATGAGTTAAAAACAGTGAGTGACTGAAATGCAAACAGAAAATGAGACTTTTTATCGGTGAATTTGAAAGATTAAGAGGCTTAACCCCCAATTTCATGGCGGATTATGGACAGCAGGAATCGCGAGAACTCACAAGAACCCGTGGATTCACATTCCATTACGTGATAACGAGATGTCTGTATAAAGACAGACACATAGACATATAATCACAGAGTGTTTTATTTTGAAAAGAAGCCGGATGTTTTATTTTGTGTCTGTGCCCGACTTCCTTTCCAGCACGGGTTAATCTGTGCTGAATTTATCCGCCATGCTCCGGCGTCCAGAAAAAATAGAACTCTTGTGATCAGCTGATAAAAGAAGTCGGTGTAAATTGACACGTTAACTTGAATGGTTACGATCAGCTACGATCGGAGGATACGACCTTTTCTTCAGTCCTCCATCATGACCTCCAGCTCCCACGGTTGGAGACTCTAATCTGACTGTAAGACGATAATAGTTTAGATTTACTGACTTCCCTGAATGCTTCAGAAAGACAAATGAACAGGAAACCAGCATGAAGAGAAACTATTTACAGAGAAACTGAGACTCTCCTCAGACAAAGACGACTCCTGAGGATGTAACAGTAAAGAAACGGAGACAGGTATTTTACAGAGGTATCTGAAACGGCGGTTTTCACTTCTCCTCTGACTTGAACTCACCATCGATTCTCAACACATGCACAGATACAAACAGAGCATGATCACCATAAACAGGTCACTCCTGTCCATTAGCAGCTTTATTGGATTCTGCTTCAGTCTGATTAAACTCAACATCCTGACACACGTTGACAGACTAATGAGCCGGCCCTCGTTACATGTGTGTGTCTGTCCATGTCTTATTACAGGCTGAGAAACAAACGTTTGGATGTCTGAGTCTTAATATCAGCCTCTTCTGACCAATCAGGCGTCCAAAGTCGAGGAGGTTGATGCTTGTAGCCGAAGCAGCTGGAAAACATCTGCAGCAGTGATCCAGAGGAACCTACAGGATGATGGAGCTCAAGGACTCTCAGAAAAGAGTGTGTTTTAGTGACTCAGAGAGAGGATGGAGAAGGAGATCCATCATCATCCATCCACACGCCTCTCCCTCTCCTTCTCTAGAAAACAGGTACGGATGTGGAAAACTCAGTATAAATGATAAAATCATGATTTTACACATCATAAATAATTATTAAAAAACTCAAACATAATGGAAAGTTAATTTAGTTTGTCACTTTCCTTCTTCTGTCATTAAATGATGAATTTATAATAAGTAATCTGACACATGACGTGTCAGATGTTTGAATTTAAATGAAATCTTAATAAATAAATGATAGTAGCTTTCTTAAATGACCACTTTCCTAATTGAGTTAGTTGTTCCTGCAGTGAATGTCAGACCTCTCTAATAGATGTGAGGTTTTTATAATAAGTAGTGTGTGCACAGGTGACGGCCTGCAGAAATGAAGCTGTCAGGCTGAACGGTTGGATTTGGAGGAGGACCTGGTTGGATGTTTGACACCTGCAGGCACTTTGTTCCACGTCTGATGTGAGCGACAGCCACCGCCGCCGCCGCCTCCTCCTTCTCAGGGGATTAGAGGGATCAGATGAAACTGAGAGTCTGGACAGGAGAGTTAGGGAGGCTGCTTCCATGTGTTTCAGTCTCCTAAAATAAGGATTATTGCAGAACATGAACATTTTTGGCACAAATTCTTCCTCTAATGAAGGCTGCACCATCTGTGAGGGGGTTTGATATGAAGTATTTTGATATTTTTGTTTATTTTCATTTATTTATATTGCACTTATAAAAAAAACAACACACGGCATATTGTGCGAGCCGGGAAAAAAACAAACCTAAGAATTTAATTCACAATAATTAATCATTGACTTTAGTGTTGGGACATGTGCAGGAGGAGGCTAAAAACCTTTAATGGCAGAATGAGGGGCTCCCTTTATCAGAACCATTCAGAGCCGGCCCAGGGCATTAGCAAACTGAACGCCTGCCGAGGGCCCCGCGGCCATCGGGGGGCTCCCAAGAGCAATCAAAAATAAAGTTTTTTCAAAATATCTTTTGTTTTTTGCATGTATGAGTGATGCTTTCTGTCTGATCAAATATATATTATTGTAAAAATAAAATAAAGTAAAAACATTTTAGCGCTGCTGCTGATGTTGGCCGATGATTCTTACTGCCGATATGTCAAAGCAGGAGCCGGGAAAAGGAAGAGGAAGACGAGAAAAAACGCCAAGATAAAGGTTTGTTTGCATGACAGGAAATGTTAATCAAAGAGATTTGTGAAGGTGTGTGAATGATCAACAATCAATATTATTGGCAGAAATAAAGGGGCCCTATTGAGGCTTTGGCTGGTTTTGGAAACATTTAACATGGAGATAAAGATTTAACGTAAACTGAATTTTAAATACAGCTGAAGAAATAAATGAGTGAAATACTGAACTGGAGGATGTCGGTGTAGTGTTAGCTTCAGTTTAACTACATATGGACTCAGGCTCTGTACAGTCTAACCACGACACATTAAAAAGTTTACGAAGCGAAATTAAACAAAAACCTTTCCACGAACTTCTTTGTTCGTCTTCTCTCCGTCGTCTCCTGTGCCTCAATAGTAAAACACTGGTGCATCATCATTATTGGTCCCCAACAGCTCACTTCTGTTGTGATTTTTTTTATTTGCATTCTTTTACTTTAGCAATAAGTACCTTTTTTGCAGCAGTGGCAGTTCTCGGCCACCATAGAATTTAGGTTTAGTTTTTGTGTTCAATGTTTTCATTAACTAGGTAAAATAATTGAGTTGCAGTTTAAACGTAGATTAAAGTTTTCTACCTTCGTTCGTGTATTTCCGGCCCAGCCTTCGTTTATCCCAGTTATAAAGCTGCACATGTTCATTTCCCTCGCTTTAGGCGCCAACAGTAGCGCTCTGGACCGGAAGGAGGTGATCGATCTTTAGTTCTGTAACTGCAAGTTCACTACAGTTTAGCTTTCCCTTAAGTATTTTACCGTGTTACTTTAAAAATATAATAACATTATTACCGTTGTCGAAATATTAAACGACCCGTTAATCGTTACTGTTGGACAAATATCCGCCATCTACCCCAGATTAAGGAGGACAGCAGTATTTTACTGTTTACACTCCGTGGACAAATTAGCTCCTGGGACATTTAAAGCAAAGCTAAAGTCATCTCATACTGACTCTTGAACCCGAGTTAGAACAACAACAACAATAGCCGGACTTCAGATCTTAACATGGACAGAAGATGCTCTCCTCCAGGCTTCAGGACGGAGGAGAACCTGCTTTCAAAAAACAAACCTATTCTGGCCGATCACCGATCTTTAAAAGCTCGACCTGCCGATATCGATTTCTTTAAATAACTGATAATATACACCTTCGATGCTTCAATCTTATTTTAATGAAAAACATTAAACAAAACTTGTTTTAACTGCACATGAGGTACCACTACTACTAAATTATATCAGATCCTTTAGTCTTTTATTTTCCACATTTATAAAATGAACCATACTTGGTCACATACAGGTCAGACTGTAGGCCTGTTTTAAGCCTCTTACCAAAGTAGGTGCACAGCAGTATTTTGCTTTTACAAATAAAGGAAATCACAAAGTTTGATGAAGTTTATAAAATATTACTCTACAGGACAAACTAAACTGCTGTCATTCTGGCAAAAGCAAAAAGCTGCAATGGCCGACTTTCAGACCTTTGCTGAGGAGGATAAGATCGATGGATAAAATCGGTTTATGTGTAAGGATCAGCTGATCACCGATTCCCCATAATTGAGGAAATTGGCGCCGATCGATCAGCCGACCGATTTATCATGTTTAATGCTGTCTGTTGGACTTTGAAGGGTCAGGGTTAATAATTTTGTAAATGGTTGGTTTTGGGGTTGGCTGTTTTGAACTGAGAGTTCTCACTGTCTTTGCTCCCATGTGGACCTAAAGCTAGAATACCAAATATGGTCTGGATGTGGTGGACGATGGACCAGTACCACGGCGCTCTGTTCAGGTGTGTGTGTCTCTTGTTGAAGAAAAACACTTTTGTGTACACTGTTATATTGGATTTATGTAAACCAGGTGGTTTAGGGACATTGGGAGGTGGTCTGAATTCTGGATTTGGCTCACAGTCCGTCAAAGGAATAACTCAGATTAACATCAGAACTGGCATTTTAATCATTTCATTTGAGGTTGTTTTTTTTTCTGGAAATCTCTGTCATGTTTTTGTCCTCATTTGACCTCCCACAGTTCACTCTGTTGAGAACAGACTGCAGCTGTTTAAAGCACCTTGAATTGAGAATCATTTAAGTTGTCTGAAGGTCCGTCTGACAAAAACATTTTGCACAGGTGATATTTAATCACAAACACCAAAATACCTCCACACCACCGACGTTTTCCTAACGCCAGTGTTGTCGTTGACATTGATGTGGTCATCTGTTGAGCCTTCATGGTCATTTCTGTCGGGGGTAGCACTCATTTTCTTTGTTTCTCACCAACAGTGCTGTCAGCTTCACCTGTTAAAGTGCTATGGTTGGGTGGAGCTGCTGTCTGCTACAACGCTGCAGTTGGTTGATACTTGGTTCTAATTCAGAACATGATTGGTTCAGACCCGGAGACACTCCCCTTTTCATTGGCTGTTCATATAGTCTACCAAAACATGGCAGAATGCTGACTATTGAAATGCATATTTACTATGTTTTATATTGATATTGAGGGAAATTAATTTTCGATATAGTTATCGTTTTACCGCCCAGCCCTAGCATGAGACCATATTGACATCCAGCAGTTTTTTAAGGTTTTCCTGTAGATTTTAAGTTCTGTCTCTGCTGCTGGTTTAAGATTCTTTTTAAAAGTGTTTTAGCTAGATGCTGAAATATGTTAGAATATGGTTTAAGATTAGAGAATGGAGGACTAATGCTTATTAATAATTGGGAATAAACAGGATCAGATTTGGGAGGACATTTGGTTTCAGTATAATCATCTAGGCGAGGACATGAGGGTGCAGTAGATGTCATACAGCCAATAACCGGGAGTGAAGTTATGGTATCTATCAGACAGGATGTGATGTGATCAGTGACATGTTTCCTGTAGGGGAACAGGATGTACTCTGTCGCCATATTATCAGAGGCATGCAGCCTTGAATGCAGCACGCAGGGCTAATCTGATTGGAGCTAATGCCAAATGGATCGAGTCTCCTGTCTGAGCGCTGGCTTGGCTGCTAATTACATGTTCCACCATCTTAATCTAATAACTCACTATCACTTCACCAGCAGGAGCCACAGGCAGACACAGGCTTTGACATGAGGCGGGTCATTTTGCCCTCGCTTTTGACTGCAGGACAATGAAACGGATAGAAGATGCCTGTGTGTGTCATCCCCAAAAACCCTGAGCTGTAGTACCAGAGAGCTGTTTGACTAGTTCCCCTCAGGTCAGTCATTTTGTTTAGATCTGAACATTTTTCAATTCAGAGGAGACGATTGTGATACGAGCGAGGATCAGTTTAGTTCAGCACATTTCATCGAGCTGATGTCGATTTTTAGGATTTCTGCAGAGCGTGTGTTACAGTAAAAGCTCTAAGTGTCCTGATTCCTGTCTGTAAGTGCTCTGAGAAACTTCCCCGTAGGAGTTTGTGATGTTTAAGTCAGGAGCTGATTAAGAGCGTCACACTTTTCAAAGACTCCCCACCGTGAGCACCGTGGAGAAGCCTGAGTCACTCTCCTCTCTCCCCTCCAGGCGTCTGGAAGCTCCTCGCTGCAGAGACGAGCTGAAGGGGGGAGGAAGCGCTCTGATTTCTCCAAACTAAAATGATACCTCACCTCCTTATTTCAAACTTTATTTAGCAGTTTCATTGGTCATGAAGCAGCAGCTTAGCAAAGTCTTTATTCACAGGGTTGATTCACTGAGTTGTGAGGATATTGGTGCAGTAGAAGCATGTTGGCTTCATGACAGTCTGGTTGAACCGTTCAGACCCCTCACATGAACATCTCGTTTATTATCTCCTTTTAAGGCCAAAAATCATCTGAAAACTGAGGGCTGTGTTCCCTCAGGGTCAGCTGTGTTTATGTCACACAGATTAAAAAACATTAAGTTTTAATTTCTCAATACTTTTTAAATGACTCGTTTCCTCTGGGGAGCTGCGCTTTGGTTTCATAAATGCTTTTATTTTGAAGTTGTGTCCATGACAGTTATTTGGTAGAAGTACCTTTTTTGAGCTTTCAGTAATCGTGTTGGCTGCTGGTCATCCCTGGAGAGCATCAGATAACACCAGGTTACTGGATACATGTCCTCTTCTGGGACCTCTCTCTCTCTTTGCAGCATCTCTGTGCGCCTCTCTCTGCACAGCTGGTGTCTGAGAGTGAATTTAGCTCCAGTTCAAAAACTCCTGATGTGAACAAAAACATTCGATGGCATCATGATGAACTGATCAATCAGATTAAGTTAGGAGAGGTATGATTTAGGACAGTCTCTGCTTCCTCTCGAGGGCTGGGTTTAAAAAATCGATTCAATCAATTTTAATCGATTTCCCTTTAAATGGTTCAAAATCAATTCATAAAATCCAAAGATTGACCTTTAACTTGAGTAGTTTTTTCTTCAAGCAGCCTGAAGTCTCAACTTTGCTCGTCTCGCATGATCAGCGTTTAGCGCTGCTTTCTGCCACTTTTCATGGAACAAGATCTCGTGAGATCTTACTGCCAGCAGGAGAGCGAACATGGTGGAAGTGAATCCACCTCTGAAGGCACCGCCGACGAGTTTAAAAGCTGATTGTTTGGATGTACTGTTTCGGATATAACAAGTTGGAAGTAAACAAGTAATACGCAAAATATGCAACGGGAAGGTAAAATACAGTGGAAATTCGATGAATCATTTGAGGAGACATCACCCAGAAACACCGTCAGCACAAACAGACCAGCCTGGAGCAGGTATTGCTGTGTACCAGGTACCAGCGGGTTATTTCCACTGCTGGCGATATTGTCACAGTGAAATTGAGCTGCTTTACTCCTCAACATGTTGATCAGCATTTTTCAGTATTACATTGTATGTTAATATACAGTTCACAAAATCATGCACTAAAAAACCTGAAGTATTGCACAATTTCAACCCTCTTACATTTATCTGAGTCAAAAGACCTGTAAGACCTCTTTATATCATGTTTGTGTCTACTTTATTTACATTGTCTGCCTTGTAATTTATTATAATTCAATTTTGATTAATATATGTCTTTGTGTCGTCAGGTGGTCACGTTTGAATAAAAGTACTAAATTAATGTAACTGGTTTGGGTTTAATTCTTAATGTAAACATAATTCTTAATGATGTACCAGGTTGGTAATCTTGTTAAAAGTTACTTGTTGAATTTACAGCATTATTTTAACTCATATCGCTGACTGAATTGACATTGAATCGAATCGGGACCATTTAATATCGAATCAAATCCATCTGGAAAATCTGAATCGATTCCCAGCCCTACTCCTCCTCTCTCGGAGTTGTTTTAGTTTGTGTACAGGATCTTTCCCAACTTTAGTCGATGTAGAATAATTATTGTACAGTACAGCACTGAACCAGACCACCTGGTGTAAACTCAGCTGATATTTCCTCAGTCTCACAACAACAACAGATGATAAAGCCAGCACATATCTTTTGGTTTTCCTCTCTGCTTTGATGAAGTGCCGGCTCTGCCTGACCAGCTCAGCACTCCTCCTTAAAACTGGAGCATCTGTTCCGTGAAACTCTCTCTCTCTCTCTCTCTCTCTCTCTCTCTCTCTGTGGAGGTTAATTTAGTGCCCAGAGCTGCAAATTCATCTTCATCATTGTTCTTAAAAACACAGATTTACGGTCCCTCTGTGCCAAACACGCAGTTATGTGAGATTATACACTAAAGCAGGAATCTTCACCGTCATTATTTCATTCATAACAAGCAGGAGTCGAATCCATGTGCTGCTGCTGAGCTGATGATGGTGGTTTTAACTCAGTTTGGTATTTGAAACATCCTCTTCTTTGCTGTTTCTGTCAGTTTTTCTTCATCTCATTAGAGAGAGAGACAGACGAGGAAAAAGACTGACAGACACAAAAATATAACTGATCAGAAAATAGAGGATGGATTTTAAAAAACTCATTTAGACAAAGTAAAAAAGAATCAAACCCTTTCTCTCTTCACTCTCGTCTGATCTTGAGGATGTTTTTGCAGATAAATAATCTGCTGTTTGACAAGAACAATATTTCTGAGTGAATAATGAAGCAGCAGTTTAAGTTCATCAGGTTTAAAGTCACACACACAAAGTAACGTCCTGAGCTGAATCCCCCCTGAATCCTTGATAACCTCATATGAATGCACGGAGCCGACTCACCCCGTCTGATCCCAGCGTGTGTGAGTGTTGCTTCGCACGGTAACATTTGTGTAAATGAGCTGAAATTAATCCGTCGAGGTAAAATGATGAATAAATGAGAGTGAAATGATGCTCCGTCTGTAATTTTTTAGACTGACTGCACAGAAACTCTCAGTTTACAGGAGCTGATACGACAAACAGATCTGAAATAGGGATGTGCATCTCCATTACTGTGGCGATTAGATCTCGATGCACTGCCAACGATACGATATGATCTGCGATACATTGAATCCTTGCCGACATGATACTCTACGATTCACCCCTGTTCTCGATACGATACGATTCACCTTCCATCCCAATACGTTAATTTTATCTTATACTTTTGTCTGTACATATTTACAACTTGAATTTACATTTTATGTATTCAAATTTTCACATCGAGCACGTTTGACTTTTGAATAGTAAAGAAATTAATAAAGTCTTCAGATCCGATTTTGTTTTTTTGAGTGTTTTGTGATTTTCTCGTTCTCACCCGTGTTGCTGTCCACCTCCTGCACTCTGGTAGCAGCAATTTTCGTGACATCAATACCATGTTTTTTCAAGTGAGCGGCCATATTTGTCGTGCTGCCGTTGTGAGGTTTAGAAACACGGCATTCTTTACAAATAACGTGCGTCTTGTCAAGTTTAGCATCTCTCTTGTAAATTCCAAAGTACTTCCAAACGTTGGAATTGAACTTTTGAGGAGCATTAAAAATCTCTTCTTCTGCAGCTTTGCCGCTTCCCTCTCTGAATGAATCGATGCCCTTGCATTGCGCACGTCTGTGTCGCGACCACGATCCATATTGATTAATCTCCACATCCCTAATCTGTAACAGCCTTAGAAATCTTCATCATGATGGACCTGCTGCAAATTCATGAACAATGAAAATACAGAAAACCTGTGAACACAAAACGCTCAGAGTAAGACCACATACGAGAAATAAAACAAAAATGATAAATACAGTAACTGTAACTGCAGTCCTGTTATTTTTTGGGGCATACCTGGTGACAAAATGACACTGAGGACACATGCTGGGATTAACTGGTTAGTTGGCGTGCAGATAAAGCTTTTATTACCTTAATTTGTATCATATCAGATTAAATCCAGCAGTTATAGCCCACTGTGCAGTTTGAGTGTTGAAATGAAAGCATGTAAAATCACTGAAGTGTCTTTATGAGTTAAATTTATGAAATATTTCCAGGATAATAAAACAGGAAAGTTAGATTACTACCAAACCAGACGCTGAAGTTCTTAGCAGCAGTATTTGCTTTGTCATGACGTGCTCTGGTCCATTAAAAATATTCTAAAATCAATTTTAGGTCTTTTGGTCACATGACAGTGAAGCTATTGAAGGAAAACAGCCTTTTCTGAGAACATCCACCGGTAATTTATTGACGGTCCCTTATTCAACACCGACGTTGACAGTGAGGGTGTCGAGTAGATTTAACCGCGCTGCTGTTGTTATTCCCGGTTATGGAGAGAGAGAAAACACCGGTAGATCCTCAGAGAATGTCCGTCAGATATCCAACCTAAAACTAACTTCACCGCCGTATTTACAGGAAAATATATCCAACCTAAAACTAACTTCACCGCCGTATTTACAGGAAAATATATCCAACCTAAAACTAACTTCACCGCCGTATTTACAGGAAAATATATCCAACCTAAAACTAACTTCACCGCCGTATTTACAGGAAAATATATCCAACCTGAAACTAACTTCACCGCCGTATTTACAGGAAAATATATCCAACCTAAAACTAACTTCACCGCCGTATTTACAGGAAAATATATCCAACCTGAAACTAACTTCACCACCGTATTTACAGGAAAATATATCCAACCTGAAACTAACTTTTTGTTGCCACATAAAACATTTGTTGCCTCGGCTAATTTTTTCTTAAGCGTCATGTGACCCTAAATACATTTTACAGTTTGTACACATCTATTTTTAGTTGCAAATGCGAGTGAAACGGTCGCACTGTGGAGCCCTGTTTAGGTACGGCACGACTTTCAGTCCAAGAGTAGATGAAGAGCAGAGCTCGGAGTCAAAGTCCAAACTCTCCATCTGTGGACTCCTCTCAGCATGTCCTCATCTGCTCCAGATGGAGTGCAGTAACAGCACGGTTCTCATCATCAACCTTGATTACTAATGTTTACTGCAGCAGAGCTTTGTCACTTTAATGTGAACAGATGTGGTTTTTTTAAAGCTGCTGAAACAGATGACAGCTGTAATCTTCACACTCATGTTCACCAGGCTAACACTTGAGGCATTCTGGGGTTCAGTATCTTTGAAAACACAACCCCACCCCTGAGATGAAGCCCCTCGTCTCTGCCATAGATGACCACGCTCCAAAACTCCTTTAAAACCAGCTCAGGTTCAGTGTAAGAGTGAGTTTGAACCAGACACTGATGGTTATTGGTTATAATGAATGTCAGAGGCTGCTCTCTCTTTAAATGAATAAAAACCCAAAGTTTCCTCGGAGAGTTTCCACCACCTCATCTCCATTTCCCAGGTTGTTAGTTTCTGATAAATAAATCCACATCAGCGCAGAGATCTCCGGCTGTGAGTCCGTTGCCTGCAGCGATCACAGATAGGCTTTTGTTTCTTCATGCTTTGCTTTCCAAATTAATTTGTGTTCCAGTTTTCAATTCCACATCTCGCTGTGGGGCGAAGTTAACATCTCTGTTGCCGTGAAAAAAACAAAACAAGCATACAGTGTCAGAGTCTGTGAGAGAAAAAGAACAGGATGAGGATCATCTGTGTTTGGGGGGTTTTGCAGAGCTGGAGCTGAATTAGGAGGACCACAGAAACCTACTGATGTGGACTGAAAACCTCGCTCAGTTCTCCTCTGAAAGTTGGTTATTTAATCAGTGAAAAATGGGGGAGGGTTGTTCTACTTTCAGCTCTTTTATAAAAACATCAGTTTCACTGAAAGGAAACCAGCAGCTGATTTTAGAAAGCGTCTGTGGAGTTATTGTTCGTTGTCAGACCTTTCTTAAGAAAAAATCCACTTTGAACCTTTTTTTCCAACAAGTTTTCATCTGAGGACTTTATAAACTGATGATCTGTCAGGACCTTTGGAGGGCCTGACAGACAGAGAAGGACTTGTGCAGAATAATGCTTCAACTAAAGACAAAACGGTTTATCAGGCCAACTTTTACAGACTTTAGCTTTAACAAAATGAGCAGCATCAGACATGGAGGGGAGCGTACAGCCGTGTGTCGTCTGCATATAAATAAATAAAGATAAAGTGTTTCTGAATGATCTGGCTGAAAGGTGGCATGAATATGGAGAAGGCCCGAGAACAGATCCCTGAGGTACACCAAGGAAGAAACAGATGAACTGGACTTTGCTGAAACAACTGAAAAGGTTCAGTAAGATCGGAGTGATGTTTAAAGTTTCAGGCTGATCCTTTGAGACCAACCCAGGGTTCGATAGTGTCAGAATCAGGTGAAAATCTGAGGGAGCAGGTTAATGGTCTGTCTGTTGAAACTCAGAGATCAATTAAAACCTTCATTAGTGTTTGGGTCAGAGTCTCTCAAAATGAGCTTCATTATGTAGTTGGCCTTTTCTGCTGAAAACCTCACCACAAAAACAGTGAAATATCCCTTTAAAATGGGGTTTTGAACACAGTGGGAGGTGTCACTCTGGCTTATTTCAGCAGTATGGACCTGAAACATAGACATGAATTTTATTGTAATTATGAACTGTACGTTATAATAATAATAGTAATAATAATAATAACAAAATGAGCAGCATCATCATTAATAATAATAATGATGAATATTATTATTATTATTATTAATACTATGATTGTCATTATTATAATCATCTTCATCATTATCATTATTATAATTATTATCATCTTAATCATTGTCATCATTATCATTGTTAACATGATCATTATTATCATAATCATTATAATTATCATTATCATCATTAACATTATCATTATCAATATTATTATTATTATTGTTATTATTATCATCATATTTCCATCATTACCATTATCATCATAATCAATTTCATCATTATCATTAACATCATTATCACTATTATTATCATAATTCTCATGATTATTATCATTATCAATATTATCACTATCATTATTACTATCATTTCTATTTCTGTTTTCATTTTTATTATTGTTATCATTAATATTATCATTATTATTGTTATTTTTATTATCATTATTATTACTATCATTATCATCATTATCATTCTTTTAGTTATTATCATATTATCATCATTATCATCATCAATTTTATTATTATCATCATCACGTTATCATTATTATAATTATTAAGTTTGCAGACTTGGGTAGCGTGGTTATTTAAAAAAAAATGTATTTATATACTGAGTCAGGACGTTGAAAAAAGTCTTAACTGACGTATCGTACAAACAGAGGGTTCAGATCTGTAAAAGTGACTGAAGCTCTTCATGTAGAAAATGTTCATTTTAAAACAATCGGAGGGCTGTGACTGGACTGGTGGAGGTTTCTGGGTTCAGGGTGTGTTTGTGAGCTGGACTCAGTTTCTTCCACGTGTGTAATAAAAAGCTCCCTGCCTACATTTATTCCTGAACATCCTCTCGCTCTAAATTCCTCCCTGTCTCTCGCTGTGATTGATTGTATCGGCGCTTTATGAGCCGGAGGTGAGAAAACACGTGTGACCGCCAGCCTCGCAGTGTGTGAGCTGTTTCTGGGAAGAGCGGGAGTTTCCGAGGGGAAGAACTACCCGTTAATAAAGTCCGAGTTCATATTCCTGCTCTCTTTCTCCTCATTCTGTCTGTCTTTGCTCGGAGGGTTTCCTTCTTTCAGCCCGTCTCAGTGATACTAACAGGGTCCTAATGAGCAGGCAGGTGCAGGTAACAGGGACTCAAATCTACGGAGACTTGTTAAATTTGAAGAGACTCTCCTCACTCATTATCCTCCACACATCCAGCTGCTGCGCTGCGAGTCCTTCCTCTCTGTTCCTATAACATGATGATTAATGGAAGCTGCTGCTACCGCTGCTGGAGCACAATTAGGTTTAATTTGACAGAGATTATGGGGATGATGGGGCGGTTAAAGCTGGAAAGGACGGGAGATTATATTCTTCAAAGTTTACAAAGACGCAGCAATTTAAAGATGAACACGACTGTCCTCCCACTTTAAAGGGAGTCACTCGAAGAACGCCACGATCTCTGACAGCTTTTAGAAACGCTCACGGTTTAGGTCGATGTTTGAAGACGTGTGTGAGGAGACAGAGTTTGCAGTTTGACGAAGCTTTTCAGTGGGTTTATAAATGATTCATGATCTTTAACCCATCAGGAGATATTGAACATTTGTGAAGTTTGTTTCCACTAACTGCAGAAGTTCCCTTCACTGAAAAGTAGACCGTGTGTTCCCTAAATGTGTATTTTCATGTTTATTTGTATAAATCCTTTTCTGTGTTATGAAAATAAATAAAAATAAATTCTGCAAAGACTCTTAAAAATCAAACCATGAGCATATGTGTGCAGTTAAGAGCGAGAGGACTGAAACTCTCAGAGGGAGTTAAGATTATATTATATTTAGAGGTGTCCCAATACAACTTTTTTACTTCCAATACGATACCAATATTGCAGCTTTCAGTATTGGCCGATACTGACATTAATCTAATATCAGCACAAACTTGTGCATGACAGGTTTTACCCTCAGTTGCAACGATTTTTCGGAATTAAAGTCCTTTCACACTGGGACCGTTTTTGTCGTGCGATTATTTCGGACGTCAATATTTTTTTCCAAACCCGTATCCTGTCAATACAAGCGTTCATATCAGCAACGTTTTCCTGTTCTGCGATGTTGCGACATTTATTTTTTCGTTTCACGTTCGATTTTTCTAAAGTTTCTCATACTGTGTGTCCACTTCTGACCAATAAGATTTTGTGTTGTTGCGACGTCAGATTCACCGGTATTTAGTCATAGCGTCGGATTTCTCATATGACGATGGTTTGTGAGCTTTAACAGTTTGATAAACGTCTTTGTTTGAACTTTCATCTGTGCTAAGTAACTTTAGCTCTAAGCTAACCTGTTCAGATACAACATACCATATGTATTTTCACTGTAAACTCAATCACAGCGTTGCTGTCACAGCACCATCAGGTCTCGGTTGTTCCCCTTAATTCGCCTCCAAATATTTCGTAATTGCTGGAGTGGACTCTGGAATGGACTTCTTGTATCGGAGATTTTAGATGCAGGCCGATATAATTAGTTTTTTTGCTGATATCTGATATCAATATCGGATTGGGACACCACAGATTATATCACATCAGAGGGCTAGTATGCTAAACAACGCAGTAACGCCACTTCTACGTTCATCGCCTTCATGTCCCGTTACTCCTCATGCTGGATATCCAGAAGATGGTCCATCTCTGCTACAGTCTGGTCTGATGTCCTCTCCTGATTTCAACAGCAGGTCAGACAGCTGGAGTCACCAAACCCAGGATTCCCTCCTGAACCTGCAGGACCTGAACTGAGTACACCTTTAGATTTGTTGGACTGTTTCAAAGCTGGGCTCCTGCAGCTGTGGTGGTAAACAGTGAAGCAGCATGTTCGTGTTTTTAAAGAGATGATTCAGAGTCCATTAAATGTGGCTCTGAGTGGAGTCAGCACGACTTAAATAACTGCAGGTGAGCGGTCCAAATGTGGATGTTTTCTGGTGGTTAGCAGAGCAAACAGACGCAGCACTTCTGCTGCCTGAGTCCATCACCGTTTTGTTTTTCTGTCAGCACAGCGAGCTAAGCGTCTGTCCCACGTGTCTGCTCGGCGGCGGCGGAGGTGAATACCTTTGAATCAGTGCGGAGAGATGAACCTCCGGCAGCTTTGGAGATGGAATCGGAAAGAAAAGCCTGTTAAATTCTGGGATCATCCGACGTGAGTTTCCATCCGTCAGCCTCTGACATCCGCTCTGAGTTTTCCTCCAACAATGGACCGAACAACAAAAGAAGGAGACTTCAGCGGGAGGATTTGGGATGGGTTCAGCACCGCTCTCAGTCTTAAACCCGCCGCCTGACTCACAGGATTTCTAACAAAGAAACCATTCTGTCAAAAGTACATGTCGAACAATCTCATTTCTTTCTGTTTCCGACACTTTCAGCTGCTTTCTCCATATTCAGTCACTCTGCCCTCCGTCTATTCCGTCTCTTTTCTCAGTATTTACTTGAAATTGCTGCAATTTCCTCTAAGATGGAGTTTCATTCTTTACAGCTCCTCAGGTCAATCAAGAGCTAATCCTCTGATAATTACTGGCTTATTATAACCGCTGGAGGTCACAGGGCAGAGGCACAGGTACATGAGCTGTTAGACAGGAAAAAGCCAACATAACATGGGGTTTAATAACTGCTGAGGATTAATGAGAAAAATCACATAATTCAACATGATTAAAAGTTTCATTTAGTTCTCTTTATTTATTTGTTGTTTATTTGTTACCCTCACTAGACCTTAGTGAACCCAGCAGACCAGGTCCTGGGTCTGACGAGGGTCGCAAAATATATTTAATCTATAATAGTGTTAATATTTAACTTAATTAAATAAAAATCGGTGCTAAATGTAAGCTGTTTTTCATTTAATTGACCATTTAAGGGTCTAGTTTATTATGGTGGTATTATCTCAAATGTGACGCTGTTTCTTCAGACTCCTGACAGACGGTTTTCTGTAATCAATCAATCATTGATACATCAATTATCAAATATTTTAAAGACCATTCCAGTTGTTTAGCCGACTATATTTCTGTTCATGTCATTGCATTAGTGATTTTACTTTAGAAGTTTTTCTGTTATTTTATTCTACAAAAAAATGCCATGTTCACCATCTGATGTGTGGAAGAATTTCACACGAGCTAATGTTGAAGGAAAAATATTTATGTTTATGGATATGATACAGTTTGTTTAAATTACCACCAGTTTACAGTTAATTCCCATAATTTCCCAATAATTCCCATGTAAAGTTTCTAATTTGGAATATTTCTGAAATTCCCCAGTTTAACTTCTCACGGAAAGTTTCTGGAAATTTCTCGAAATTTTCAGCTTCTTTGCAAACCCTCGGTCTGACAGTGAAATGTTGTCCCATTCTGGCCTGATAGAGGATTTCAGCTGCTCAACACTTCAGTCAGACCAGAGTTACAGGTACTGCATGTCCTGTCCCCTAACTCAATCCTGTCCAGGTCTTCACCCTCAGACAGCTCTCTGAACCCAAACCCTTGATCCTCACCCTCAGTCTGAGCCTGGATCCGGTCCTCACAGAGATGGAGGAACATCAGGAAACACTCGTTATAAATCAGAGCGCCCTTTCCTCCGGTCACTGAGAGCGGGGTCTGACCTGCCTCCTCTACCTCTCCTGTCACAGCCAATTACAACTGTTTCCTGTCAGACTGACGGCCAATCGCAGCCCATCAATGTCAGTCAGGAGATGAGGGATGGCAGCTGTTGTCATGGAAACCAGAAGCCACATCAACAGAGCAGAAAATGTGTCTGTAGACCAACTGTAGCACAAACACACACACACACACACGCTGTATGTGGAGTAACAGGAGCACAGTTTGTCGTGCAGATTGTTTTATTTGCACACACACACACACACACACACACACACACACACACAGTCCTGTCTTTGTTTTGATTGACAGCTCCCTCCCTGGCTCTGAGCGTGCTCCGTCTGTCCGAGCAGCAGGGAGGAATAAAAAGGTATTTCATTATGTTAGATCTGATCTGTGAACTGTTAGCCCGAGCTGTCTGCACGCCGCCTTCATCACACCGTCACGAACTCGCCGCTCGCTCCAGAGGAATTACGCCCAAATCTCAGCGACGCCTGGAACTCATTCCAGTCTTTACTTTTCCTCCAGTGTAAACACCCGGGACACAGCGGGCTCAGTGAAGTCCCTCTGCAGCCGGGGGTGAGCGCTGACGGGGTTTTATCACGTGACCAGGACTTCATTTCAGCACAGAGCCCACGAACACGACCAGGCTGAGGACACCTGAGGCTCCGGGAGGAGAGAGAGAGGAGCGTTTTAAAAACGAACAGAGATGGAAACGTCTTTACAGAAATGAACAAAAACTAAAGGACTGAAGTGAGAACATGCTGGAAAGTTTGACCAACAACCAGAGAGGTCCTGCTGCAGTCAAACTGATGACTCCAGCTGTTTTCACTAAAGGGTTCACTCTCTCTCTCTCTCTCTCTCTCTGAGGTGAGACTGAGATAAATTAAGTCTAATTACAGAGATCCAGCCGACATGCAGCAGCAGCTACTTTCACTGTTTGAAGACAATTGAGAGAATGAGGTGAAGAAGAACAGCAGCTCCACAAACACAGCTTCACCTTCTTTATCGAGAACTACGTCTTCATGAGTTAGAGGAAGAGAGTGATGATGAACTTCTATCTGGATGATTGATATCGGACAAATCCCAACAGCAGGAAAACCAATCATGTTCTGAATTAGAACCAAGTATCATACAACTAGACAGCAGCTCCACCCAACCATAGCACTTTAACAGGTGAAGCCGACAGCACTGTTGGTGAGAAACAAAGAAAATGAGTGCTACCCCCGACAGAAATGACCATGAAGGCTCAACAGATGACCACATCAATGTCAACCACAACACTGGCGTTAGGAAAACGTCGGTGGTGTGGAGGTATTTTGGTTTTTGGAGGTCGGACATGAAGCAGAGTAATGTGGACTGTAAATTATGTCGAGTACATGTTCTCACAAAGTCGGGGAATACCTCAAATCTTTTTCACCACCTGAAGCAGCGCCACGCCGCAGAGCACGCGCAACGCTAAAGGTTACAAGGAGAGGAGCGAGGAGCCGAAACAGACGACCATTCAGTCGGCTTTCTCTAGAGCGACGCCTTACGACAAAACGCCAAAGAGACACAAAGACCTCACAGATGCAGGAGATTATTGTGTTGGAAAAGACATGAGACCAAGAAACACTGTTAGATTTTTATATCCTGATATTGATCGATATCAGCTGATAGGTTTTTATTTAGGTATAAACAGGTGTGAACGCCCCACTGAGGAGTTTGAGGTTTGTTCCAGTTTAGAAACAGATTTATGGTTTTTGTTGTTTTTAAATCCAGGCCTAATCAAAGTGAAGGTTTTAGTGTATAGTCTCATGGATGGAAGAAGTCGGTACCACTGACAAAATATCACCTTTATAATGGGAATACTTGGATAATTCATCTCTGAGTTCAGGTGAAGTAGAAGAAACTTTCAGATTCATCAAAGTCTCTGAATGAAAAGACGGATTTTTCCTCTCCGCCCACAAAACTGCAGCTGTGTGACTGTGGAGGAGCTGAGAGTCCGCCTCCTTCTTATATAAGCTCCTGAAACACTGTGTGTGTGTGTGTGTGTGTGTGTGTGTGTGTGTGTGTGTTCCAGAACTGTGACAGGCAGTAAAGAGGACAGCCCCGAGGCTCTCAGGACCTCTTAAAAAAGCAGGTTGAAGGTGTGTGTGTCTGGGAGGCAGAGATGTATCACGGTGTTATCTCTCTGTGTGCAGACGAACACCTGAGAGACCTGCTCAGAGTGAACGAACGCCGCGCTGTATTCATGTTCCTGGGTTCTTTCTTCTCTGTATTTAGTTCTCTGCTCCTCGTGGAGATCTTAAACCAGTTCAGCTGAAGCTCCTGAACTCCTAATCTGGAGGGTTTTCCTGTGAAATCTGTCGCATGGTTTATTGAAATGTTTACTGAGTTTCTTTGGAAATGTCCTCACACCAGTCTCCTGAGGACAGTGACGTACTCGCAGCAGACGGATGTTTGAAATCAAATCTGGACTGACAGTGAGGAAGTCGATCTTTCTTCTCCTTTTCTTCTTCTTCTCTGGCAGCAGACTGACGGAGCAGCTGTCGAGAGTTTCAGATTAAAGCTCAGAGGGTGAAGTTATTCCTCTTTTTCTAAAGAACTCAGTCTGCACTGTGAATTTAACTCTGTTAGTCTGGGTAACCACGGACAGTAAACTCAGCGTCCAAACCAAAATCAAACAGCTGATTGGAGTCGGTTTGGTTGTTGGTTTGTGGGTCTGTTAATGGTTTTGTTTGTAAGCTGAGGAAGTCTTTGGTTTGTCTGTTTGGTTGGTTGGTGGAAAGCTTGGGTTTCATAATTAGTGAGTTGAGTTAGTCATTGGTTGGTTGTTAAAGGTGGTGTAGTCAGAATCTGAGGTAGTTCCAGTTTTCAGGAGAAACCTTGAATGCCAACCAGTTTTCCCCTCAGCTCCTCCCCTCCCCTCAAGCCCCGCCCACAAACAGACGCTCCTGCTCGCTCGTATCGTTCCAATTAAATTCAGATATAATGCAGATCAATACTTCAGATCATTACAAATGGGGCCCAGTCAAGGTGAAAGTAAAAAGCATTGGTGCTACTGTAGATGCCAACAGACTACCAGCAAACACAATGTTTGCAGGACTTCTACAACGAGGATAAAGTGACATAGTCCAGGACCCGAGGGAGGACAGTTTAGCGATGGCGCTACAACACGCTACAGCAGGTCCGTTTGACAAGAAACACTTCTGTTACAGACACTTGTCTTACTTTGTTAAAGCGGTTTACCTGTCCAGCAGAAAGGTTACAGGGTCACCAAGATCCCCAAGCGTCCCCCATGGTTTATGTTGACCCGGCTTTTTAGCTCTTGTCCGCTCTACCTCCGTTTTAAGCGCCCGTTATTCCTCCAGAGTCTCCGGTATTTACTTTGTTTTCTTGCTTGTGTCGGCAGTCGTGGCCAAAAGAGGATTCAGACAATTTTCCGAACTTTCTGGTTGGTTTCTACTGTCCGATATTGTAGCACGCTAACTTTGTTTGGGCTCCTGAACGACACGGGGGAGCAGCGTCTGCCTCACAACCAATCAGGTTAGAGGAGGTGGAGAACGGCTTTATTTACAGTCAGAAAGAGCGGACCGCTCAAAAATGTTCAAATGTTGACGACACAGACATAAGAGAACACAGAGATATCGATATATTACCAAATGTCATCAATAACTAATAACTATTGACTGATATTTAAAGATTTTTTGTTTAAAAACCACAAAATAAAAAGATGCTTCTTTAACAGATTCCTGTCTACTCCACCTTTAAGTCGGTTTTCTTCTTGTGGACCAGACTTCTTTCCTTAGACTAGAGATCAGCTGGACTCTCTCATATGAACACTGAGTTCTTGTTGCTGATGTGGATCTGTGTGAGTCTGAGTGTGTTTGTGTTTTGCTGCCATTCTTGGTCAGGACCCCCCCTGAAAAAGAGATTGATGATCTCAACAGGACTAGTCTGGTTACATCAAATCAAAAAGACACACAACCTGCCTCCTGTCTTTGTCCTCTACAGAAAACCTGATCCAGCTGCAGGACTCACATCTGGGACATGTAAGACCACATGGATCCATGACACTGACGGAGCGGTAACATGACATCCAGCAGAAACAGACACAATAAAGACAAACAGACGAGGTGATTTCAGTGACTCAGTTTGAGGATTTTTATGATTTTTTTACCCACAATCAGAGACTTGACCACAATCTGAGCTGAGTCAGAAACATCCAAACAGTGGGACTAATAAATGTGATTATTATTATTAGAGTGATTGAAAAGCTCATAACAACATGTAGATCTGTCCAAAGTCTGATTCTAGATGTCTTTACAAACACACTGATCCAACAGAAGCAGACAGAAATATCCATCGATCACATGAACACAAATATTCAGCAAACAGAGAAAGAAACAGATCATCTGAAGAGTTTTTGGGGACGACTGGAAAGACTTTAGACGCTTGGATTTGGGACAGGAAATAAGGTCGTCCTTTTTCTGTGATTTTGACCTCACTTTTTTCTAAAGTCTCAGACCTTCAACATCTGCACCAACTGAAGGTGATTTGAACAAACCATCATCTTGATGTTGTTGATATCAAACTGTATGAAGATTTTTCAACATGAGAAATACAAACAATCAAAGTTCTCCACAATCACTGTCCTTAAAGCTGCGACCAAATCAGCATCTTTAGAAAAGAATCAAAAAGCTGAAATGAAGAACTAAACCCAGAGTTTTTGGTGAGACTGATCCACAAACATTTACAAACCAGAACATTTCAAGAGTTCAAGGATCTCAGTCCATGATTTTGGTCTGATGGACTCAAAATTCTCTTTAGTTCACTTCTATAAACTCAGCAGAGTCTCCAACAGACCAGCCTAACCCCAGTCCAGCATGTAGAGGTTCAGTGAATGTGGTCTGGACTCTGTGGAGGAGAGTCATGGTTTCAGAGACGCTGTAGAAGGACAGAATACCTGCTCTGTGATCCAGGTACACTCCTACTCTGGAGGACGGAGGACCTGAGACATCAGTGAGGACTTTGTTGTGACCAAATTGATAACTGTGTTTATCACAGTCTAACCTCCAAGATTTGTCATTTTCTCCAAATACACAATCCTCTGAGTCTCCGTCTCTCCTGATAGTCTTGTATGCGACTGCTACAATAACCCCGCCCCCTCTCCAGTCCACCTCCCAGTAACAACGTCCAGTCAGACTCTCTCTACTCAGGACCTGAAGATAATCAGTGAATCTGTCTGGATGATCAGGATAAGACTGTTCTTCTGCTGTCACTGTTGCTCTTCTGTTTCCATCAGATAATAACAGCTCTCTGTTTACTGTGTTTGGATCCAGTGTGATTCTTCGTGAATATCTTAAGAAACCAGCTCTGGTCTTGGGTTCTGCTGGTTCTGGTTCTGGTCGTTCTGACAGTAAAACATCCACTTCAGTCACTGCCTGTGAGACGTTTGTCCACGTCTCTGTCAGAAGATCCTGGAGTTTATCTCTGAGCTCTGACACAGCTGCTGTCACCTCCTCAAAGTATCTCAGAGGACGGATGTTGATCCTGGATGAGTCTGCAGGTTGACCCGGTTCTGACAGTGAGGGGTAGCTGTGCAGAAACTGGTTGTGGTCCTCTGTGAGTGAGAGCTTCTGCAGATCAGCGTCTTTCCTCTTCAGCTCAGTGATCTCCTGCTCCAGTTTCTCCTGAAGGTCTTTGACTCGACTCACTTCACGTTCCTGCTGGGATCTGACCTGCTGCTCCACCTCAGAGCGGCGTTTCTCCATCAGACGGATCAGCTGGCTGAAGATCTCCTGGCTGTGCTCCACAGCTTTATCAGCAGAGCCGTTGATAGCCTCCACCTCCTGTTGGAGCAGCTTCACATCTTCTTCTCTGTCCTGGATTCTCTGCTGGATGTTTTCTCGACCCTCCTCCAGATCTTTCTGCCTCTCAGTCCTTTCTGCTGCAGCTGAGACTGTGTCGTGACCTTTGTGTTGGTCCAAACAGCAGAGATAACAGATGGACTTCTGATCAGTGCGGCAGAACATCTTCATCACCTCATCATGACGAGAGCAGATTTTCTCCTGGAGCTTCTTGGAGGGCTCCACCAGCTTGTGTTTCTTAAATGGAGTAACTTCAAAATGAGGCTGGAGGTGAATCTGACAGTAAGAAGCCAAACATTGAAGACAGGACTTGACAGCTTTCAGTTTTCTCCCACTGCAGAAATCACAGGCCACATCTTCAGGTCCAGCCTCAGAGGAACCATCAGGAGCAGCTTGGAGTCCGCTCTTCTTCACTTCCTCCACTAAACCTGCTAACATGGTGTTTTTCTTCAGGACAGGCCTCGGTCTGAAGGTCTCTCTGCACTGAGGACAGCTGTAGATCCTCCTCTCATCCTCAGTATCCCAGTAGGATTGAATACAGCTCATGCAGAAGCTGTGTCCACAGGTGACAGTCACCGGATCCTTCAGAAGATCCAAACAGATGGAACAAGAGAAAGACTCACGGTCCAGATGAACTCCTTTCTGCGCCATTTCAACACTCGCTGTCGACGACGACGACTGACTGAGTTTCATTTCCTGAGAAGTGAAACTAGTCTGAGCTCTGATCTCAACAACATGTGCGTCAGCAGGATATGACCTCAGCACACGACGGTTACACCCAACCAAGACTGTAGAACTGAGGGGGAGGGAGGAAGGAAGGGGAGGAAACAAGGAAGTGAGAGTGCAGAGTGGAGTGAGCTGTGAGAGACAGTGAGTGCAGAGTGGAGTGAGCTGTGAGAGACGGGGGGGGGGGGGACCAGTTTATCTACAATCCAGGAAGAGGAGCGTCTCTGTGAACTTTAGACTCTCAAACTCCAACAAGCAGAAGTTCTTAAAGCTGCAGCCGTCCTGAAGATCGCTGCTCGCTTGTATCGTTCCAATTAAATTCAGATATAATGCAGATCAATACTTCAGATCATTACAAATGGGGCCCAGTCAAGGTGAAAGTCAAAAGCATTGGTGCTACTGTAGATGCCAACAGACTACCAGCAAACACAATGTTTGCAGGACTTCTACAACGAGGATAAAGTGACATAGTCCAGGACCCGAGGGAGGACAGTTTAGCGATGGCGCTACAACACGCTACAGCAGGTCCGTTTGACAAGAAACACTTCTGTTACAGACACTTGTCTTACTTTGTTAAAGCGGTTTACCTGTCCAGCAGAAAGGTTACAGGGTCACCAAGATCCCCAAGCGTCCCCCATCGTTTATGTTGACCCGGCTTTTTAGCTCTTGTCCGGTCTACCTCCGTTTTAAGCGCCCGTTATTCCTCCAGAGTCTCCGGTATTTACTTTGTTTTCTTGCTTGTGTCGGCAGTCGTGGCCAAAGGAGGATTCAGACAATTTTCCGAACTTTCTGGTTGGTTTCTACTGTCCGATATTGTAGCACGCTAACTTTGTTTGGGCTCCTGAACGACACGGGGGAGCAGCGTCTGCCTCACAACCAATCAGGTTAGAGGAGGTGGAGAACGGCTTTGTTTACAGTCAGAAAGAGCGGACCGCTCAAAAATGTTCAAATGTTGACAACACAGACATAAGAGAACACAGAGATATCGATATATTACCAAATAATCAATAACTAATAACTATTGACTGATATTAAAAGATTTTTTGTTAATAAATTTTGTAAAAAGTTGGGTTGTTTGTTGGGTTGGTATGTAGTTTTTTGGTTAGTTGGTTGTTTCTGGTCTTTGACACTCTGAGTGTGTCTTTGGGCTGAAAGTGTGTCACTCTGGAATAAATGTCTGTGAACGTGTTGACAAAAACATCCACCTTTGTCAATAACGCCTCCTGTGCTGCACCATTTAAAGCACAGAGGTTCCTCTTTGTGGAGTCCACCCAAGAGGAGGCATATATATGTGTGTGTGTGTGTGTGTGTGTGTGTGTGTGTGTGTGTGTGTGTGTGTGTGTGTGAGTGTGTTGAAAAACTGCAGTCAGTCAGAGTGTGTTTATATTTGCTCCACAACAGACCAAAGAAGTTCTGGAGCTCTAAATCACACAGCTGCACCTCTTTATCTTTGCTCTCCCTGAAAAATAAGACCCTTCGATCAGACCCTCGCTGGGAATCGAACAGTGTGCAGCGGTTCAGCGGGTTACAGTGGCGTTTATGTTTACACTAACCACAGAAATATAAGCGTCTGCATGTTTCTGGGATTGATTTTTGTCGCGCTGGGGCCGAACTCTCAAAACAGAAATGTGTGAGTTCAAGAAAACTTGAGAGTGAAGATGATTGAAAGAGAGAGAGAGCGGCTCTGAGGGTCACTTCATTTACAGCTGACAGACAAACAGAGAGTGAGCGAGGGCTCAGCAGTGATCCTTCTGATGCTGCAAACCCCTTTTTTTATTCTCAGAGCTCCTTACTTTACATCAATAATATAAAAAAATACAGTATAACACATATATATACTATAATATAATATAACGTCAGTGACTTGTTGCTTCCTCTGCCTCTGTGGTTTTGAGAAGACGCTCAGGTTTGAGTATTTTTTCATTTACTAGGATGCTGCTACCTTCAAAAGTCCTGAAAGAGTCAGATCCACCTGTGAGTGATGGCGCTGGAGAAAGACGTGACCCCCCCGACATTTATGGGAGATCCAGATGGCCGACACGCCGCCTGTGAAGTATTTAGAGCTGAAGTGTGAACCGGCCGACCTCGTCTGGGTTTGTGTCCGACCTGATCGTTACCGACGGCGTCTGGGTCTGCACTCATCCTCTTTGAAAAGGAGAGATGAATGACTGTACTTTTAACACACACACACACACACACACACACTCTCAGACCCCTGCTGAGCCACCTGCAGGGCTCGGTCTAATACAAAGTATGATTGACAGGTGATATTTGGGAGGATGAGTCAGAGAAGATGGGAGCTGAAGTCAACATCAAGAGGAGAGACAATGAAACTCAGAAACACACACACACACACACAGGGGTAACACTCACTGCAGCTTGAACACACGGTTTATTATTTTCCACGTTTTAAAGTTGTTGTTTGACCCTAAAGAGGATCTTTATTTTTGTTTTTTATGCTCTAAAGGTGAAGAAAAATCAGGTGAATAATCTCCATTCGAAAACTTTTCATTTATTGGCAACTACAAATACTGAGAGTAAAAATCAAGTGAATGAAATGAGACGTTTTTATTTTTTAATGTTGACTTTAAGAGTTAGATAAATGATTCTCTGTTGCACCAGTGAGGTCTAAAATTAGACTCAGACGGAGGAGACAGCTTCAGAGTTTTTACTCTGTCAGATACACAAGGTTTATAATAATAATAATAATAATAATAATAATAATATACATAAATAAATTATTATAATGATAAATAAACAATCATAATAGTGATAACAATAATAATAATATTAATATAAATATCAATAATATTAATAATAAAAATAGTAATTGTAGTAATAATTCTATAATTATTATTGTTGTTATTTTTTATTAATAATTTATAATTATTATTATTATTATCATTATTATTTTTTATTATTTTGTTGTCATTATTTTTATTTATTATTATTATTATTATTATTATTATTGGTATCATTATTTTTATCGTTTTTATATTATTATTATTAGTAGTAGTATTGTTGTTGTTATTGTTATTATTATATTAATATTGTTTTAATTAATATTTTTGTTATTATTATTATTATTATCATTATTTTAACACTTAAACACATTCAATAATATACAGGGGAATGACATAAATTATTTGTAAAATTTCAAGAACTTTGGTTTAAAGTTTATAGATATTTTTTTGTAATTTTGTCCCTAAAGTAAAACCTCTGTTCTGAAAATCTCTCCTATAATAAAAGCTGCAGTGAAGTAGAGAATGATTTCCTTCTCCAGGTAGAGCGCTCCTCAGCTGTCAGCGTCTGAGGTCAGGGGTCATTTACAGAGCAGTGGGTGGTGATTAAAAACCCCACAGTGGTGAGGAGGCTTTAAAAACAGACAGTGAATGACAATAACCTACGGCAGGTCCCAGAACCATGTCACTGATTCAGTTTTAATGGACCCCCTGGTCGTGAAGGAGCGCTGAGATCTTCTGCTGCAGGCCAGTGATAATCCTGCTGAGAGGAGGGAGGGTATGTGAGGATGCTCAGAGGATATAATCTGTTTTTTTTATTCAGTGGGTGGGTGAGGAGGCGGTGGGCGATTTGAAACGGTCTAATTTAGGAAGCAGCTGCAGGACAGATAGGACAAAAGTGAACGTGTGTGTGTGTGTGTGTAGAGAGTGTGTGTATTAATAATTAAGAGTCAGAATTCTGCTGTAAGGACACAGTGAGGGGGAAAGGATGACAGAGGACAGAGGTGATGCAGGATGACGAACAGAGAACGCTTAACAGACTCTTTTTATTGAGTTCTTAAGAAACTGAATTCAGTTTTCTGCTGTTTTTACTGCATTACTTCACAAATTATTGATGTTGTATTGATCCTTTAAATACTGAATTAACAATGATGAATGAATGGTCACCTGATCAGTCGCTCAGCTCTTTTAAAATAGTTGAACTCTTGATTGTGATAGGACAGATTTCAGCCTGGAAAATTGCACCATAAACATGTATTTTTTGACAGATAACTTAAACTTTGATTTTCACAGTTTTTTTTTATGAATCTGCTAATAAAATTTAAATTGACCCTAAAATTAAATAATAAACCTCTGTAGTAAATTTCCTCCAAAAAGTACAGCTTCTTTTCTTTTAGTAATCAACACCGCCATCTTGCGTTTCGATGCGCTATTTACGTGACGAACGTACAATACGGGGCCGAGGGGCGTCTCCCGTTACGTCATCACGCTCGCTCGGACGTTGTTGGACTCTGGACTGTCTGGACTGCACCGGCGGGGAAGTTAGCAAACCAGCTGAGCTCACAATTTAACAAAGAAAGTGTCCTTCAGGAAGGTATGTGCAGATTTATTCAGCTTCTGTTGGGTTTATTTGCTCTTTCGCGCGTGTTTGAGTCATTTAACGTCAGGCTGGCTCTCGTGATTAGCAGCGAACAACATACGAGCTAAGTACACTTGCTAATGCATGCACGCCCACCAATGTGACCCAGACTCCGTTTAATAATCGGGTATTTTAAGGTGATTTTGCTTTTAACGTTTGTAGAAAGATGGTTCAACTTATGTAAGTGCATTATATCGTTAAATTAGCAGGTTATTAACATTTCGGCTCATATATATCACACGGTGCATTCTGAATAAATCGTTTTTGTGTGTTTTTTAAATGTGAATGTTAACCGTGTGTTGACCAACTTTGAGCTAGGCAGGAGTGTCCTGTGGAAAACCTTCAGTTTAACAAGGCCGATATACACTCTTGAAGTTATCAGATATGTAATGATTAACTTAAGTGAGCTACTGATTAGTAGAAGATGTTAGTAGGTCCATTTACCATCGTAAAACTGTTGGTTTAGAAATGCGTTTGTCTGTGTTTGCAATAAACTTGCATGGGTTATTCATGTAAGTCAAAATGTGTCATTCATTTGTTTTGTGTAAGACTATTTATTGTCATGTTAAAAAAGTCGGTGTTTAATGCTCAAAATAACCCAAAAAGAAATCCCGATTATATCATGTTTTGTTAAAAATCACACAGTGCAACACTTCACCTTTCCCCTTGAGGTAACAGGTGTGTACATTCCTGTTATATGACACCTTATCTCCAAGTTTTCTAGGCCAGATGTGACCCTAACTGACTTTTTCTGTATTTAAACAAACTGTGCATTTATTTGAAGGGCTTGGAGACGAGTATAAAATGCTCATTAAAGGTTTTTCATGTTGTCCTTCTCTGCAGATCAGAGATGTCTCTCACACAAGTGTCCTCCAACAAGTGTGCCGGTGGTTTCCAGAAGGTTTTTGAACATGAGAGGTGAGATCTCAGCTAAAGAACTTAGACACACATGTACACACACATAGATATAACTGTGAAGTTTTGAATGAATATAAGCATGTGTGTGTGTTCCCTTCATGCAGCACTGAGCTCAAGTGTAAGATGAAGTTTGCAGTCCACCTGCCTCCAAAGGCTGAGACTGGAAAATGTCCCGTCATGTACTGGCTCTCTGGTGAGTGAGCGAGATCGTTTTAAAACGTCTCAAAACTTTTATTCTACATTGTTGTTTTCTCATGAACATTTTCACGTTAAGGACACATCTCAGTACATCAGAATACCTTCAAAAGTTCTGGTTCTGCTCGGGTTTTCTTCTCTGATGCTCCGACTCCAGCCTGAGGCACCTTGGAATAAAACTGTGTGTTATGTTTTTATGGAGTCGTGATCAGCCTTCATGTTGTTTCGCTGAAGGTTTGACGTGTACGGAGCAGAACTTCATCACCAAAGCTGGAAGTCAAGTTCCTGCTGCAGAGCATGGCATCATCATCGTGGCTCCGGACACCAGCCCACGTACGGACACACACATACACACACACACACACACACACACACACACACACACACACACACACACACACACACACACACTCATAATTATTCTTCACATTTTAAAGAAGCAGTTTTTCTGTCAGGGGCTGTAAAATGTTCCTTTAAGTCTTTTAGTCCTGAATCTGAAGTATGGAGATTTTTATTTCTGCTTTATTTCTTTGTCTTTTTGTTTTTACTGCAGCAGGTTTTTAAAATTTTTCACATTCAAACTTCTCAATATACTGTTAGTTTGTTGGATTTACTGGGGTAAGCTGCGCTTTAAGAGATTATAATAAATTGTCTCTGAACTTTTACAGCCTCTTATCTCTAAAACGTCTTATGTTCTCAGAAAAAAAAGCGCCCAGTTTTAAAGTTAACACAGAGAACTTTTTCAGTTAAAATGGGGGAACTCCCTCAGCTCAGGAGGATCACTTATTTTCCTGCAGAATCAGTTCACCTCCAGGTGGTCAGGGAGGCAGTCACAAACAGTAATCTGAATAAAACACCATTTCCCATCATGCATCAGGTGGCTGTAACATCGAGGGAGAGGATGAGAGCTGGGATTTCGGCACTGGAGCCGGTTTCTACGTCAACGCCACTGAGGACCCATGGAAGACAAACTACCGCATGTACTCGTACGTCACCGAGGAGGTGCGTTTGATTTACGTCCCCTTAGAAACAACAACAACAACAAACACTTTCCAGTTTAAAGTTTGGTTGATTAACGTCTTTTTCTGCTCCTCTCAGCTCCCCAAACTGATCAACGCTAACTTCCCCACCGACCCAGACAGGATGTCCATCAGCGGACACTCCATGGGTGGACACGGGGCGCTCATCTGTGCCCTGAAGAACCCTGGGAAATACAAGGTGTACTTTATGTGACTTAGTTTATCGTTAAAGGGCACAAAGAAAACTCTGTGAGAAGCTTTAGTCGAACAAAATAATGACAGGGAAACAAAAGTAATTACACTGTCTACAAAAATATGTCAATAAATACCTGATATTTTGCATAAATTTAGTGCAGCAGTCCTCAAAACTACAAACTCAGAAAATGGGGACACACACAGTCCCTGAAAACTACAGGAATAGAAGCCCATTGGTACTGAAGTGTCTTCATCACACTGACGTTGTCCTCGTGTGTCCTCAGGCCGTCTCTGCGTTCGCTCCCATCTGTAACCCGGTGCAGTGTCCGTGGGGTCAGAAGGCCTTCTCAGGATACCTGGGCTCTAACAGGTCCACGTGGGAGGTAAGAGCTCGGCGGTCTGCTGTCCTCAGGAGAACTGTGATTATTACAGTAATCATCACGCAGCTGGACTCATTAGAGGCTGTCAGAGAAGTTCCTGTCGTCATCCTCCTCCTCCTCCTCACATCGCTGTCAGACATGCTCAACGAATGAAATCAAAAGTTTTGTTATTACCTTCTTTATTGAGTCAGTTTTCAAAGTTTTAACAGCAGCAGTAACCTGTCCTCCTCTTCCTCTTCCTCTCTTTAGGCGTACGATGCCACCGTGTTGGCGGCGGCGTATTCCGGTCCTCAGCTGGACATCCTGATCGATCAGGGCCGAGACGATCAGTTCCTGTCTGCCAGCCAGCTGCTGCCCGATAATCTGATCGCCGTCTGCTCCGAGAAGAAGATCCCCGTCGTCTTCAGGCTGCAGCCGGTCAGTTCCTGTAGACTTTCAAAATAAAAGCCCTGACTCTTAGAGATACACTGCAAACAGAACGGCACAAAAGTTGTCACATAATTTTGCTCAGGAGTTAATTTTTAACTGAATTGAAAGACAAATAAATGCTAAATATGTAAATTATGATATCCAAAGAGTTCAAGTTTGTTTTATTTTGTCTGAAAACCTCCAGCGGGTCTTAAACTGCAAATAGAGATGTTGTGTTTCTTGTTTTGTTGACAGAAATGAAGTTGAATCTCCTCATCTTTAATATTTATGGAGTTAAACTTGATTTTCTCCGTGTTCGAGAGGCAGCTGTCAGTGACACAGCGCCCTCTTGTGGCCGTACATGCAAAGCAAACCTTGTGTTGAGCATCATTGAAGGAGAAACAGGTTAGAAGGACAAAAACATGGATCCTGTGATGATAATGTGCGTCTCCTCCTGCAGGGTTACGACCACAGCTACTTCTTCATCTACTCCTTCATGGCCGATCACATCAAGCATCACGCCAAGTACCTCAACGCCTGAACGCAGCTGTCCGCCCGCCGCACACACGTCAGCCCGGTGCACTGAGAGGCTCCTGCCAAATTGTGAAGAACATCATCAGCTGATCTCCCTGGTAAATAAATACAGAGATGAAGTAAAGAAACAGGTCCTGATGTTTCAGTCCAGTCAGAACCTGCAGTCTGAGCAGCACTTAACCTGAAGTAAGAACTAAGTCCTCGTTTTATATTTAATTGATTTAATTTAAGCCCCAGTTCTCAGACTGTATTTGTACAACATGAGAGGAAATTTCCCCACAAACCATCAGAGACCACGTGACGTCGGCCCTCTGTCAGGAAACAGTCCCAGCTGTATTTTTCTGAATAAAATCTTCATTTCATTTCACAGTTTGGTTCTTTTCACCTTTACACTCAAACATTTTTACAGCCTCAGCTCCGAGGATAAAGGTAGTTTATGTCCTTCACTACCTGTCAGTGATTTAACGTTAGCGCTCAGCAACTGATGGAGAGTAGACCAAGAAAAGTATAAATTCAGCTCTAATTAGCAGGAAAAGGTCCGTACATGTGTTTGGATAACCTTGTTGGGTCCGTTAGAAGTGGTCCAGTTTTCCTCGTGGTACAAGAGAGAGACGGACCTCCATCTTGACCCTGAAGCTGAGGGACAGGTGTGGTTTTGGAGCGAGTCCTTTCTGACTGTACGCAGATTTAATCAGAGTGAGGAACATCATATGGCTTTTTTAAAAACATAGAAGATGAGTCAGGGAAGTAAGATCACAGATTCTCCACTAGGTGTCACTCTTCTCCTAACGACTGTGCTCAGAGTCAACACCAGCAGTACGTCAAAAAGAAATTCATAGAACTGTGAGCATGAGAAAAAGTAAAAATAAAACAATTAATGACAAGATAAAATTTAAAAAAAAGTCTGGTTTACTTCATGAGTAACTCATTTTCTTATTAAAAGTCGAGTTTGATGCTTTCATACTTTTTAGTCATCTTTGTTGCAGTGTGAAACTTTTGACTTTTATTCTGCTGAAAGATCTGAGTAATTATTCTTCTGTCCATTTAGTATTAATACAGTGTCTTCTGTTTTTACAAACTAATCTTAAAATGCTCTAAAAAGTTTAATTTGCACATCAGAAAAAGAGGAAAATAAAACTGAAGCTTTAAAACAACAAAAACATGCAGGAAAATAAGAAGAATGAGTGAAAATGGAAAAAAAACTGTGCAGATTGAATCTTTTGTGTTCTAAATAAAACTGAACCCACTTCAGTGACTTTATTAGAGGCAGACCTCCATGATTTGACCTTTCAAACCCGAGCCCGCTCCGAGGCAGACGGGTGGCCGCCGTCTGTAACGTTTGACATTTGAGGCTCAGGAAGGGACTTTTCTGAGTAAACATACAGATTAAACACAATCATGACGACCTCAGAGAAAATCAGGCTTTACTGACGATCTGCTGATTGAACGTTTGATTGATTTACTATAGCAGGGCCCTGTCGAGTGTGGTTCTGAGTACTGAAGGGAGCCTTAGTGTGACAAACTACTAACAGTTAAACTGAGACTCACCAGAAACAGATAAACAGACATTTATCACCAGATGAAATGACCCAGAAGATAACTGTTTAATGTGCAGACGTGTGGAGAGGGGGGTTTGGTTATTTCCTCATGTTGTTAATTGGATAAGAAATAATGAAGCACCATACTATACTATACAATACTACACTATACTATAATGTAATATACTGCTTTAATGTAATATACTATGCTATACTATACTGCACAATAATGTCATATTGTATACGTCAATACTAAACTACACTATTCTATAATTAATATACTATACTGTACTATAATGTAAAACTATTCTATACTATACAATACTAGACTGTATTGTACTATATTAAACTATATTATAAGGTAATATACTATACTATACTATACTATACTATATTATACTATACTATATTATAATGTAAGATTCTATACTATACTATAATGTACTATACTATACAAGACTATACAATACTATACTGTACTATACGGGACTATACTATATTATAATGTAATAAACTATACTATACTGTACTATATTATACTATACTGTGTTATAATGTAATATACTACTATTCTATACTATAATGTACTATTCTGTGCTTTATTATTCTATACTATACTATAATAATATGTAATATACTATACTCTACTATAATGTAATATACTATACTATTCTCTAATGTACTACCATACCATCATGTAATATACTATATTACACTGTCATGTAATAAAGTATATTACTATACTATAATGAAATATAATAATGCAGCACTTGGAAAAGGAAGGATGGGCTGAGAGTGGTTTACTCTTGAGTCCTGGACGGACCAGATTCACCCCCACAGGTTATTTATCATCTTCAGGTCACAGCTGATGAATTCTGAGTTTGTCAGTTTTACCACCATGAGAATAAATATGAGAGTTTATATGAGAGTCAGAGACAAATATAAAGCCAACATCCTCATGACTTTATTCTTCACATATCCTGATTTTAGTTTGAACATGAACCATAACAGATCACCCTCGGTTCCCCTCTCTGTACACACAGAGCTGAGCCTGTGGTTAAAAACGGCACAAACACTGAATAAAACAGTTTCCTCTAATTAAATCTGTTTCCCAAACACTTCTCAGCGAGGCTTCAGGGCTCAAATTAAAATCTGCTAATCATCGCTGTTCAAAACAAAAGAGCAAGACTCCAAATACTAAAGAGGGACGCTGGAGATTTCTAGATGACCCGAATTAAAAATCCAGATGAATGTGGATCTGAGAGTGTAACTGTGAGACTCTGAGGTCTGTGTCTGTGCTTAAGAAAGGGTTAGTCCTGTTAGAGCAGGTCATTTAACTCTGACCACTGACCTCCATCTTTGTATTTATTTATCTTATTTACTTATGAAACACCTCTCAGACCGCCATTAAACCGCTCTGTAAAACAGGAGTCAGAGGGGAGACGTCTCAGTGGAGGTGAACCGGACTCTCAGGTCCTGGTCCACTGACCCACTGCTGCTGAAAAGGAGGCTGAGGCAGACCGCAGTCATCTTCACAGTCAAGCTTCATAGACACAAACTTCAAATCCAACTGGCATATGTTGGCCGGCAGTATCCCAGCCAAAACAGAAGCACTGTTCCAAAATAGAGTTGGCAAACGTAGATAATTAACTCATTTAGATGAATTTATTCAGAGCGTTGAAGGACTGTATATGATGGAGAGAGTCCAGATACAGTAAATCAAAAACAGTTAAATGAATAATATCTGCTCTTTATTTTAGTTTGAGGAAAACAGTTTATTTCTAAAAAAGGAGCTGAAGACCAGAGTGAACCCAGCAGACCAGGATTTCAGCTGCTTAAAGGGATATTGGGGCGTGAAAAGTTGGTATAACTAGAGAAGCAAGCGGTCGACAACATTCATCTCTGAAGGGGGGGTCTAACTCGGGGTTACGACATGTTTGACCCTAAATTAATTTTACGCCGGAATATCCCTTTAACAGTTCAGGGTCTCCTTGCTCTTGTTTTTGGGGTCATGATGCTCAAAGTGTTTCCAAGTCAGGACTGCATCAGTCCAGGACTCTTCTCCTGTAGTAATCCCTGTTGTCAGAATCTGGTTTGGGATCATATGAAGGTCTTCCCTGAAAAAGTCTTTGTCTGGATGGACGTAGATGTTGCTCCTAAACCTGGAGATATTGGTTAAAACTGAGGATGCAGCATCTATGATTTCCAGTTCTTAGTTGAAAGGACAACTGGACTACTCCGTCCAGTTGTCCTTTCCAAAAGAAGGTCAGATTTTGATCCATCAGACCCCGTCTCTACCTGGTCTCGTCTTTCCTGGTTCAGTTTGACCCTCATTAGTTGATGCTGTTGGTTGGTTTTTGAAGTGGTTCTGAGTCCATGTGGTGATTCCCACTCCAGAGTCCTGTCTGTTTTTAATGCCCTGAAGATCAGGACCATCCAGTCTTGGTTTTGGACTCTTTAGTATCAGGTGATCAGAGCCTGAAAAGTACCGATGATTTAGTCTTGGTTGATTTCTTGCAGCGGTGCTAAAGGAGTTTTTTTCCTGCTGACACTTCGGAGAGTTTTTTAACGAGGCTGACTGACAGTCTGTTCAATTATTCATCGGAGGGTTAAAGCGTTTCTCCTCCGGTCCTTCTCCACAGTGACTGTCACAGCAGCACCACCATCATACATCTTCCTGCTGTCATTTACATTGAGACCCTCACTCACATGGAATAAGCAGACACGTGACGGTGCTGTGCCGATGCTAACAGTGCTGTGACAGATCCAATCCAGTCTTTCTGCATCAAACTGAGCCTGGAAGGAATTAACTATCTCAGAGCATCAGTGTAAGGATGAGGAAATGTGGGTACACAGAAAAAAGCAGATTATTGTTCAATAAAGACAGAGATTAGAGAGTAAACCTGAGGCAGATCACACACACACACACACACACACACACACACACACACACACACACACACACACACACACACACACACACACACACACACACACACACACACACACACACACAGTCATCCTCCTCTTCTTTATCCTCTTCTTCATCTCTGATTTCTTCAGGCACTCTCTCTCTACCTTTGTCTTTACGTCTTTTATTAATTCCCCTAACTGCACATTTTTCCTCCCAGGCAGTATTTGTCCATCCGTATATATAACTGAGTGCCCTTATGTGCACTTTCTGCCTTTAAATTGGAGGCTTTAGTTGACTGAGGCAATTATTTATTTATGTTTGTCTGCAGCGACCTTCCTCCCAGTCACAGCCAATGTTAAACCTCACTGAAGGCAGAGCCTCGCTGCCGGGCAGCTGCTATCACAACACGCTCTACACTGTCTGTGATATGCAGAGGAGAACATTGAGGTAATTAAAATCAAACCGAAGAGTAAATGGAGTCGTGTCTTAGAAATAAAAACAGCATTAAGTGACCTTTGAAGACCTGTGCTTATGCAGACCGTCCAACTATGACCGCTGATGTCCCCCCAGAGTTTGTACAGACACCAAAACAACAGGGACAGAGAGAGAGAGAGACTGATGCAACAGGGAACATGATGATAATCTGATAAAAACGGCTGTAATCTTCAGTCTAATCTGGTATAAAAACCCACCAGTCTTCAGCTGTTTTCAGTTACTGGTTTAAAAAGTTCCTATATTAGATCTTCCTCATGGTGATCAAATGCATCGATCAGATTTTTGTCTCATTAGAAGATTAAAGTTCCAGTTTCATTAACTGTATTTGACCTTCACAGTAAAATGGTGTAAATATGCTGCATCTGTTTGAGTCGGATCAGACCTCAGGGCTAAACCAGGACCCTGCAGACCAAGTGGACCTCAGTCCATTTCACTTCCACCTCCGATCACATCAGAAGAGAGTGTTTAAGATTTAACTGAAGCTGATGAAGAAATGATGTTCCTCTAGGGCTGGGCGATATCGGAAAGTTTATCATGATATTGAAAAAATCACTTGTCAATCTTAAATATTCCCCGTTACTCTTAAATAAAATTTAACATGTACTCGACATAATTTACAGTCCACATTACTCTGCTTCATGTCCGACCTCCAAAAACCAAAATACCTCCACACCACCGACGTTTTCCTAACGCCAGTGTTGTGGTTGACATTGATGTGGTCATCTGTTGAGCCTTCATGGTCATTTCTGTCGGGGGTAGCGCTCATTTTCTTTGTTTCTCACCAACAGTGCTGTCGGCTTCACCTGTTAAAGTGCTATGGTTGGGTGGAGCTGCTGTCTGCTACAACGCTGCAGTTGGTTGATACTTGGTTCTAATTCAGAACATGATTGGTTCAGACCCGGAGAAACTCCCCTTTTCATTGGCTGTTCGTATAGTCGACCAAAACATGTCAGAATGACGACTATTGAAAAGGATATTGATCACGTTTCGTAACGATATCGAGGGAAATTATTTTTTTATACATATGGTTTTTGTTTCATCGCCCAGCCCTATGTTCACCTCAAAGTATCTGATCTTTTTGTTCACTGAGGACTTCTTAATTATTTTCTGAATAATCAACTTTTTATTCAAAACATAATTTTGCCCCAAAAAATATAAAAATGATCTAAAATCTGATTGTAATGAGGAGTGACGAGAAAGTCTGCATATACAAACGATGATAACCTCTGTGCTGATTGTGACTGCAGCTGAGTATTGAGCTCCCTGACACACACACACACACACACACACACACACACACACACACACACACACACCCTTCAAAGAGCTGTCCTCTGGCATGTGACTGTGTTTGATGTCTTCACATGCTTCAGCCTGGGCCTGCAGCGGCCCGCCGCCGCCGCCGCCGCGCTGCCTGGACGAATGTGTCAAACTGACATTTATGGAGAAGTTGAGTGAGAGACAGTTTGTTGGTGTTTGACTTTGGCTGCTGGTGGTGTTCAGAGTGTCTGTGATTACAGTACCACCTAACTGCTTTAGTGCCCCTGAGCCAGGAGGAGCAGAGGAGGACTGTAGTTTGAGTCAGCAGTGACCTGAAGCGGAGATCTGACGTGTCCAACTCTTCAGAACTAAATGTCTGAATATGTCACATGTCTCTGCCCTTTAAAACCAGTCAGTCCGGCCTGTTTTCTGATCCAACACCTCTATCTCTCTGAGAAATGATCCATGAGCTTCTGAGTTAAAAGGATCGTCACTAATTTAGACCCGGTCGGACCCATGTGTTCAACTAGATGGGTCAAGTCCATGGTCCTACCGTTTATAAGAAGACCGCTGTCAGAGCTCCACAGTCTTTTACTGTACTTTACTGTTCTGTTTGGAGACTTTGTAGGAAGACACAGAATCCTTAATTAGACTGGACCGGACTAGGTTAAACTGGACTGGACTGGACTGGACTGGACTAAAATACACTGGGCTGGTTAAGACTAGATCGCTCTGGACAAGGCAAAACTGGACTGGACTGATATGAACTAATTAGACTGGGCTGGGTTTGGTTGGACTAGACTAGACTAGATTATACGAGTTTGGACTGAACCATGTTGCATATGTTAGGATGGACTATAAAGGGTTGAACTAGACTGGGCTTGACTGATTTGAACTGGACTGGACCAGATTGGGTTGAGCTGTGCTGGGCTGAACTAGATTTGGTTGAAGTACACTGGATCTAACTAGGATTATTTAGACCAGACTGGACTGGACTTGTTTGGACAGGAATGGGCTCAATTTCCCCATCTAGACTAGACTGGATTGAATTGGACTCAGGTGGACTGGACTAGACTGGATTGACCGACTTTGGAAGGGACAGGAAATACCTCAGTTAAACAGGACTGGAAAGAGTGGACTCTACAGACCTGAGCTGGATTGGGAAGGACTAGACTAGAGTGTACTGGACTGATTTGGACTTGGCTGAACTCTACTGGTTTAGACTGGACTGAAATGATAGGATTGGACTGGACGGATTTAGACCAGATTGTACTATTAACCTAGACTGGACTTGACAGGACTGGCCATGACTAGGTGGACTGGACTGAATTAGACTAAAGTGGACTACAGTTTACATGGAGGTTCTGACTTAATGGTGTTTACTGCAGCCTGCCACTAGGGGGAGCTCTGAAAGGTCTGGTTTCACTCTGGGTAGTGGTGTTTTGGTACAATCTGTGAGGTCTTTGTGTCTCTTTGTCGTTTTGTCGTAAGGCGTCGCTCTAGAGAAAGCCGACTGAATGGTCGTCTGTTTCAGCTCCTTGCTCCTCTCGGGGTTTGTAACCTTTTGCGTTGCGCGTGCTCTGCGGCGTGGCGCTGCTTCAGGTGGTGAAAAAGATTTGAGGTATTCCCCGCCCAGCCCATACACACACACACACACACACACACACTCTCTCTCTGAATATGCGTCAGTGTGTGTTTTCATCCAGCTGTGAGTGAGTCTGTTGAAGCTTTTCTTCCTCACATTAACAAAGACGCTCGTCACCAGCAGAGAAGATTTCATTTCAGCCCGTCAGGAAGTGAGGGAACTCTGCAGGGACTCTGTGTGTGTGTCTGTGTGTGTGTGTGTGTGTGTGCACTTGTCTCCATGGACTGTGATTGTGTGTCTGGCGCTCATCGGCATGGCAGGGGGGCTCCTTGGAATCAACATGGGCGCTTTGTTAGCTGCTAGCTTAGCCTGCTGAGACAGGGGATCTGGGGGGGGTTAAACCCTGGATCTGAGGAGATTAGGATTAGCTGATCCTGACAACAGAAGGCAGGTCGTGTCTCTGTATCACATTAGAGGAGCACAGAGTGAGCTCCAGCCAACTTTTCCACACACGGCTCTGACTGTAGGGGGTCTGCAGCTGGAGGTGTGGGAGGGGGGCCTGGTGTTTCCCCCAGAGACCCTAACCCTGAGCCTGATCCATCAGGCCTGATGATGTAAGATCTGTCAGGAAACCAGCCAGACGATGACAAATGCACAAAGGGTTTCCTCCCTGAGCAGGCCAGCTCCCAGCATGCACTTGGCTGGCGGAGAAGTGAAGCTTCACAAACATCAGGACAAACAAACTTTTCTGGAGTTGGTGTTCTTCTTCTTCTTCTTCTTCTGAGGGTCACAGGAACCTCCAGTCCAGAACTGGGATCATGGGATTGGACTGGGACTGATGTACCATCCCAGTCCAACAGAACTGGGACAGTGTTTGTGTGTTTGGACTGACTTGGATGAATCTTTTTTTAAAACTATTTATTTGTCTGAAAATGCACAAAAACAGTATATAGGCCTGGACGATATAGAAAAAAAGCATATCGATAAAAAATAAATCATATTGATCGATATCGATAATTATCGATATAATTATTATAGTTATTTAACATATATTTTAATTGCATCCCTGGATGTTTTATGCTATTGCTTAATGACCTACTTTTAATAAAGAACACACAAGCACTGAATTCAAATTCAAACCTTTATTCAACCACCTTTTTTATTTTACCACAACTGAAAGTTTTTTAAAAAAGAACTAAAAAAAAAAAGAAATCAACTTAAGGGGCCTGAGTGACGTCAGTAAATACTGACAAACATAAAGACTAAAGTGACCAGAAAATCTGATAAATAAATATTTAAATAGTCTTTTGATGAAAATAAACAAAACAAACAAATATATAAATAAACAGAATAGCTTTAGGTGGGAATAGCATACTACCAGTTTTAACTGTGTGAGAAACTGCCCACAGCCTGGTGTCTGAACACTGAAATATTTCTCCCGGGGCCGGGAGATTTATTTTTTTTAATTATCATGTGATTGACTTGATACGCAAACTGAGCACGAGAAGCAGGACTTATCCACGCCGGTGTTGTGTCGTAGAATGCACCCCTGCCGAATGCACCCCCTGCTAGTAGCCATGATCCAAATACTCGCGTCTTTGTAAAATATGAGCTCATTTTCTTCCACTTTAAGAAGCTAATGAGTGGACGGGATGCATTCTTCTCACCTTTTCAACCCCTGACCCATTTTCATGCCTGAAGCGCTGTGTTTGAGAAATACTTGCGGCCGGGCACTTCATATCGCGGGTCGAGAGTGGCTAGAAGCTGGTCGAAGCCAGGCTTTTCAACGGTAGTTATTGGCAGTATGTCCCTCGCTATGGAGCATGTTACTGCATGGGTGATGTCCTTATGCCGCTCGGACGCTTTGTCGTATTTTGGCAAGAAACGAAGTCCAGTTTGGTCTGCTTCACATGCTTTGTGCTGGTGCTGGCAGCGGTTCCAGAGGATTCCTCCTCCGACGACGTGGAGCCGCGGCGCGGCCGACACAGCTCGTACTCCTGCGGGTGCGACCGGTTTAGATGGTAAAACAAGTTGGTTGTGTTACCAGACTTGGTTTTTACCAATTCTCTGCAAATTTTGCAAACGACCGCTGTTCGCTTTTTGTCAGACTTCTAAAAACCAAAACATTGCCATGCTGGTGAACTACTGACAATGTCCTCCGCTTCTCCTTGCTGTATCATTTTTTCTAATACACGTGCTGTCTGTTGTGGTTTGATAGGGGCTGGGCTTGGTGCCGTAGCGTACCTGGGTCTGCGTTTGTGATTGGTTGGGAGGAAGTAATGACTGTAGTAAAAGCTACATGATAGGCTATGATGAAAAAGAAAGGGAAACTGTGTTTTTCTATCGAACTTTTTATCGACCCGTTTTTTTTCTATCGCAGCACACGTCTATCGATCGATATATATTGTTATCGAATTATCGTCCAGCACTAACAGTATATCATATATAACTTAACAAGTTCAAATACAACACAGAGTACAAATACACAATATTAACACAAAAATACACTTACACAGAGTACAAATACACAATATTAACACAAAAATACACTTACACAGAGTACAAATACAGTATATGAACACAAGCACAAATACACATCATTACAGAGTACAAATACACCATGCTAACACACACAAAATCACAATAACAGTGTACAAATACACAATATTAACACAAAAATACACTTACATAGAGTACAAATACACACTAACAAGACAGATTGATACACAATATGAACACACGCACAAATACACAGTAACACAGAGTTCAAATACAGACTTACTAAGAGTACAAGTACACACTAACACAGAGTTCAAATACAGACTTACTAAGAGTACAAGTACACACTAACACAGAGTACATGTAGTAAATGTAAGTACCCTGATAGTGGGAGCAGCAGCAGCATGTCTCTTCATTTCTGAACCTTCTCATTAACCTTCCTCAGCCCCTAAAGTGTTGTAGTGAAGTTCCTATAAAAAATAAAACATAATGAAATGAAGTCACTGTGAAGGTTTAAAAAAATTAATACCTCAGGGAAATAATACCTCAATAATTATTTAATACCTCCTCCTAAAATAAACCGTTTGAACCTCATTAGTGGATGCAGTGATTCTACTCTTCAAAACTGCATTTACACCAAACTTCATCCACCTAATTTTCAAACTGTCTTCTGTGGAAAAAAGAGAAAAAACAGTCAGTTGTATCATAAAGTGCAGGGCTCAGTTTGTATTTCATTTTGACTCTAACAGCTGCTGAACTAGAATTAATCAAATCTCCAATTTCCCAAAATGACTTTTTAACTCTGTGACTTTCAACAAATGTGAATGCTGCTGCTGCTTCAACAAAATGTTGTTTTCATTAATAAAAAGAAGTTTCTTTTAATACCAGTGTTTTAGCATCGAGGATAGTCCCCCTCCACATTAACAAACCTGTAAGAAACTGAGAGTTTAGAGATTTTTCAGTTTGAAGATTATTTCATATTGAGGCTGTTTCATTTTGGAGTTTAACAAAGTTCTTCAGGAGAGTTTGTGTTTCTTGTTTCTTTACTCTTTATTTACTCTGTCTGTAAATCAAGTTTCTTTCAGTTTATTTGTTTCATTTTCCTCTCATCTGTTCCTAAAACTCTCTCCTTTCAGAGGACACTGATGAAGTTGTTCGAGGACAAAAGTCTGTTTATGAAAGTAACTCAGACATTTCCTCTCAGAACAATTAAAGAGTGTTTCTGCATTAATGAGGGCTCCCCCTCCTTCCCTCAGAGATGATCTTCATCAGTGTGACACTGTTGGAGGAGGAGGAGGAGGAGGAGGAGGAGGCAGATTTGAGATTTGAGCGGAAATGTGTTGGAAATCCAAAGTGTCATAAATCTGCTCTGTTCCTGTGAGGCAGCGCTCAGGGATTTATAATTCATACATAAAGATTGGATGATTATTGTTCACTCTTAATCCAGATTTGCCCTCCACCCCCTTCCTCACGTCACAGCCGCTCACGGGGCGCACGCCGATCTGTGCCGATCAGTGCGCGCTGTCAGCCGAGTGAAGCCGAGTGAGAGTGGCACCGAGAGAGCGCTGCAGGGCGAGCCGAGCTCCGGGGTCCACAGTCTGTGTCCCCCTCCGTCCCTCGTCCCTCCGTCCTCTCTCTCTCTGCTGGATTTAAGTCCCTCCGCGGTGCTCAGCTCTCTTTTTTGGCGGCAGCGGCGTCTCCACGCGCTCTCCACACCTTCACCATTACGTCCCAAACGAAAACGGACTTTTTAGCGCTCGCGTCCCGGACTCTCCACAGGAAGAGGATCGTCGCCGCGGTGGTCGGTATCGTCATGGTTCTGGCTCTCATCATCGCGATTCCCCTGCTGGTCCAGACCTCCAAGACGGACGCGCACTACGAGATGATGGGCACGTGCCGGATGATCTGTGACCCCTACAGTCCCAAACCCAGCGCCACGGCTCTGGAGGTCATGCAGGACCTGAGCGCCATCCCGTCCCCCAGCTTTGTGCAAGGGACTAGAGGAGAGCCGGGGCGGCCGGGGAAACCCGGTCCGAGGGGGCCGCCGGGCGTACCGGGGCCACCCGGACCGAGGGGACCACCGGGGGACCGAGGGGACACCGGGAAGAACGGATACCCCGGTTTAGGGGGCACCGCGCGCTCGGAGACGACCGGGGAGCTCGGGTCGAGTATCATCGGGGGGGCGAAGATCGCTTTCTACGTGGGTCTGAAGAACCCGCACGAGGGGTACGAGGTGCTAAGGTTCGATGACGTGGTCACCAACCTGGGGAACCACTACGACCCCACGACCGGGAAGTTCACCTGCCAGGTGTCCGGGATTTACTACTTCACCTACCACGTGCTGATGCGCGGAGGGGACGGGACCAGCATGTGGGCAGACCTGTGCAAGAACGGACAGGTGAGTGCGCGCGCTGACCGACCGATCACGGACCACCTCAGCAGGGGTCCGACACAGGAGCTCAGCTGGAGGTTCGAACTGTAGATGAAGAATCTAAAATCCAAACTTTTCAACATCTTCATCTTTCTTCATGTTTGTGTTTGATTCTCTCCTCTGCGTAAAAGTGAGTCTGAGAGTGACCGTGGATCCGGACACACCTGAACCTTTATTAGAGACAGCTGAGGGTTAGTGGGGCTTAATGAGACACTTTAAGGAAAGTCTAAATACATAAAGTTATAAATCAGGTTTTTTTTACACTCTCTTCCTTTACCTTCACCTCCTCCTGCACTTCACTCACTCAGCTCTCCATCCTCTGTGTTTTGGGTTTTGCACATTTTTAATATCTTTAATTGTGTTAAAAAAACCCACTCCCACCCTGCTGCACTATAATAAATTACTCTTTATTATGTGTAAATAAGAACATACATCTTTTTATATATACTTTTGTTTATTTGGTTTTTATTCTACCTCCAGAAAGTGCAGTATCACTCAGCATGCTGCTGTTTTTATTGTTTTAATTTTTCTGTATGTTAAATTTAACACCATCATGATGTTTTCTGGAAGCCGAGCAACGACTTTTCCTCACAGAGAGAAATCACTGCTGTGTTTTTACTCTGTGCAGGTCTAAGTCTATATCAGATCCATCGCTCTGCTCCTGAAAGATCACCACTTTATTCGTATCTTTAGTTCATTTTTATTTATTCTCTGTGTTGCTTTTTTTCCCCTCCTCCTGTGTGTAAAACCTGCTTGGAAATGAACCAGGTTCTGGTTCTGAGGTTCTGCCAGGCAAGAGCGTAAAAGTTCATAGTTAGAAATACAGAAAAAAAAAGAGAAGGTCTGGTGGATGTGAGGATTATTGGTCTCCAAAAATGATAACAGGAGTCTGAGAGGTCCAGCGTCTAAAGATGAGGAAAAACTCTGACTGATGGGATCAAACTGAGGCTCGTGTTTCTGTGTTGGACCGTTTTTAACCCTCAGTCAGGCCTGAAGGGGTTAAAGACTCTCAGTCCTTTATTTGTCCATTCCCTTCTCTGTCTGTTTGGATCTTCGTTGTCTCATAAACGTCGGCGTTTTTTTACGCTCTGAGTTACTTTTACGCACACTCTTACTCGCCCACTGCTGTAAATTTAGCACATGCCTCATACGCAGCCTTTTTTTAAAACTATTAAGGTACATATATAAGAACACAGTACAATTATATGAAGTAAAGAATGAAGTACAGAAGGATACCTCAATAATTAAACACAGAAATTACAGTAATGTGAAACAAGAGTAACAGAGTCAGCTCACACTGACATCGTAAAAAGACAAACTTTGTATAAGGAGGTTAAAGCCGCTGTTCTCATGAATGACTCAAAGAAATATCAAAGAAATAAAGTAGACGTTATTTTGATTAATCTATTTATTCCAATTTAACTCTGCCACAAAAATATATAGTAACATATATGAACATATAGTAACATAAATAACATAATACTTATTTAAAGGTGTCAAAGTAAAACTCAGAGTTTAGGGAAAAAACTTTCTTAGAAGAAGCTCAAAATTTTAAACCTCTAATAAATCTGATTCTCACTAATATTCACAAAATTCACGATTCGACCAGGTAAGAATCAGTCTGTTTACCAGAGTATGTCCTCCTCCGCTCCAGTAGGGGGCGACACACTCCTCTTCAGCTCATTGTTGATCTTTTCCATAACACACCAAAACAATCGACAAACATGTGATCGTCTTCGTTTTTTTACGTCACTCTCTCTTCTCTTCAGATTGTTTAATATCCAAGTTTTTATGATACGTTTAAACTTTCATACCGTTTAACTTCAAGGTCACAACCTGACCTTCAGACTCTGGAGCGTGTATGTGACATCTAGGCCGGTTTAGATCTAATTTCAGTAAATTAAATAAGTGCAGAAAAAAATGCGATTTCAGTCGGACTAACTTGTTAAAATCGCTAAAATCCGATTTCTGTGGCGGTGTTTGGAGGAATTCTTGTGCTTTTCCAGTCGGCCTCTAGTGGACACTTGAGGAACTGCAGTTTTCGGGCACTTCCACATTAGCTTCACTTTTCAACATGATGGGAAGAGCATGATCATGCGTGCCGCTGCGGGGTCAAAGTTCACATCATCCTCTCTCTCCACCTGCAGGTCCGAGCCAGCGCCATCGCACAGGACGCCGACCAGAACTACGACTACGCCAGCAACAGCGTGGTTCTGCACCTGGACTCCGGGGACGAGATCTACGTCAAACTGGACGGCGGGAAAGCGCACGGCGGGAACAACAACAAGTACAGCACGTTTTCTGGTTTCCTTTTATACCCGGACTGAATATTCCCGGGTGGTCATGTGACTGACACGCACTTTGTTTTCGCCTCCTGGAAGAAAATCCTCATTTTCCGTCTCATTGTGCAACTTCTTCTCACTCAGTCTGGATTATTAGCGGATGACATAACTCCACGAGTTTTTCCACGATAGTTTCTCGTTGCCGATCTTTCTGAGTTTGCTCTTGGTTGGAGATCGGTGACGCGTCTTAATAACCTCCACCATCGTCCCGGTGGACTCTTCTGGATGACCTGCCTCCACACATGGACCCACAGTCTGTGTTTTTTTCGGTGCAGATGTCGTTGCGTTTTCTCTCTGTGCGTTTCGTGGATCTGCGGATGTTTGAGGATGCTGTGACCCGGACTGAACAGGTCTTGCCGCTCCCTCCTGTATTCAGAGGACTTTACTGTGTGATGTGATGCTCTTTCTGCTCGTCTGATAAAGATATACTAATACTCTACCCTCTGATGTATTTATGCACTTATTTATCCTCAATGAGAGTCAGTGGTCCCCTATATGAGCTACCGTGAACTGCCCATCATCCAGTGTTGCAAAAATGTCTTTCTATGTCCTCCGTCTCAGTGTGGGTCATGGTTTCAATAAAGGTCTATGTTTTGTACGAAGGTGTCTCCTGTCAGGTGGACTCAGAGTGGAGTCAGCTGTTTCTTGTGAGGATGAAGGGCGAGTTAATAGATTTGAACAGAAGAGCTGAAGGCGAATCATTTTTCCGTCTCTGATATTTTTTTAATCCGCTGATTCTCCTGATCTGAGATTGAACTTGGATGTGGCCGTCGCTGCAGAAGCTCACGGCTCTGAGTTTGTTTTTGGAAGAACAGTAAAGACAGAGGACGGCCCCTCTAAAACCTCTGTGGAGGTGGTCTCTAGGACCCCCCTGTCATAGATAAGATAATAGATCTGACTTTTCTGGTGATTAAAAAGAACCTGAAAAACGTGAGAAAGTGCAAATGCTCCTCTCGTGAATAGACTGTTCCCTTTGAGATGGAAATGGTCTGATTAGTGATTTAACCTTAAAGACTAAATATGTTTGGAGATAGGGCTGGGCGATAAAACGATAATGATTTATATCAAAAATTAATTTCCCTCAATATCGATATAAAACATGATCAATATCTTTTCAATAATCAGCCATGTTTTGGTCGACTATACGAACAGCCAATGAAAAGGGGAGTTGCTCTGGGTCCACTTCATGCTGAACCAATCATGTTCTGAATTAGAACCAAGTATCAAACAACTGCATCGTAGCAGACAGCAGCTACACACAACTAGGACCTGATCGATTTATCGGCGGGGCGATTATATCGGCCAATTTTAGCCCTTTTGAGACTAATCGGTAATCGGCCAAAACTCCCTGATTTTTACCGATATTTTCAGAAATAAAATGCGGAGAATAAGATTCAGTTTCACTCCGAAAATGTTCCACCATTTGAAAAGTTCCAGACTGGGGGGTGTAGTTGAAAACGCTTTTTCTGGTCCGAGTTTGATCTAATCGGTATCGGCCCCAAAAACTTCATATAGGTCAGGCCTTACACCCAACCATAGCACTTTAACAGGTGAAGCCGACAGCACTGTTGGTGAGAAACAAAGAAAATGAGTGCTACCCCCGACAGAAATGACCATGAAGGCTCAACAGATGACCACATCAATGTCAACCACAACACTGGCGTTAGGAAAACGTCGGTGGTGTGGAGGTATTTTGGTTTTTGGAGGTCGGACATGAAGCAGAGTAATGTGGACTGTAAAAGTGAATTCTCTAACCTGCTCAGAGTCACTAAAGACCATCAGAGTTCAGGTTTCAAAGACTCTGCAGACCTGGTTCTTCTCAGGGTTCGACCTCTAAATATTTACATCTGTGTCCATCAAATGTTTCCCTAACCGTGTCAAATATTTGCTCCAGACTTCTCTCTCTGCCTCCTCCATAAACGCTTCAGTGATGAGAGCAGATTTATGATAAAGATCTTATTAGGATCATAAATAAGAGCTCTGAAGCTGGTCGTCTCTAAAGTCAGTCTGTGTCGTCTCGCCTCACCTTGACTGTTCCTGCAGGTCTTTCCTCTGACCTGAGCAGACTGACTGTTGACTACAGACTGAGTTAGAGAGACAGATAGATGTCCCTGCGTGTCTCCGACTCTCCGCAGTGATCCGTCCTCCCTCTGATGGATCTCCAGATGATGTTTGCAGCTTTATGAGAGTCTCATTAATTAAGTCAACATCTCAGCAGCGCGTCACATCCATTCAGGGCAGACGTCCCGGTTAAACCCCTCAGTGACACCTGCAGCATGTTAAAGACCCTCCTAAGACCTGAGAGTCACGGAGCGTCACATCCTGCAGGTAAACACCTGAGAGCGGGTCTGCAGCTGCACCTGGATCTGCATGTTTGTGAAGCTCTGGGGTTAATCCTGTTAAACACTGAGATCCTCCTGCCTCTGAATCCTGCAGGTTCTCCTCACAGCTCTGGTTTCCTCTGAAGGAGGAGCAGCAAACTGAAGTTTTAAAGAATACTTTCTTAAAAATCTGACCCAAACCTCTGAACTGAAGTTTGATGATATTTCTTTGAGCTGTGAGAGATCAACAACAGTGATTAACCGCCATCTCGGCGCCGTTTAAAGACGTTAAAGCTGATGAAGAACGCTGTTTTCAAATATTCCGAAGTTTTCGTCCTAAAAAGATCAAACTCATCCTGAGGAGTTTGAAGGATGTCAGATCTCATCAGTCATGTCTGTTTGCATGTCTGGGGGGTTTCGTACATTTGTTCAACATTTGAGGAAATAAAACCTTCACCATCTACAGAGAGAACAGTCTGTAAAAACCTCCTCTAGTCTTGTCAGTGAGGTCTGCAGACTGACCGGTCAACAATCAAAACAACACCTACTAAGACCACACCCCCAGACCTCTGCACAACCACCACGACTGATGAAGGTACAGGGAGAGTTCAGCACCACGGACACAGACTGTCATTCCCTCTCCTGCCTGAGGGGGCAGACTTTAAACCCAACACCGTGACGTGATCGGTTTTAATGAGAGTCAACGTAAATCTAAGAAGAAGAACTTAATTCGTCCCAGAGGATAAATTTTACTCCATCAGATTAAGACCGGACAACTGAAGTTCATGTAAACACTTTAGTCCGACTATAACTGGAGTTTAAGAACTCAGATTAAGACACCCAGATATTCTGATTGGAGTTCGATTTTCTCTACCCTGTAACCAGCGTAGTCGGAGTATGATGCCACGCCCCCGTAACCCTGGAAACCCCAGAGTAGAGGAGTAGCGTTGGTCTCATCTTTAGAAAAAGTAGCGCGTCCATCATGTCGGACAAAAACAACGCTGTACGATGCTCCATCTTCTTGTTTCTCCAAAATGCCCAGCAGCAGTTGTAGACACTTCTGACGTCTGACACCGACCTGCTGTTGTTGTTGACGGTTGTATGGGGTCGGAAACAGCGCCGCTGAAAAGACCCATATCGCCCCCTAGTGTTGGGGAGGAGGACACGTTCACATCAATATTTCGATTCGAAGTCTGATTCAGAGAAAAAGATGAATTATGAGTTTAGTCCGATTAAACTGTGGCTGTAAACGAACTGAGTGAGATAAGCTAATTATCACTTTTATATTTATAATCATTTCTCTTAAATGAAACAGAAGAGCCCTTTAATGAAAGTAAATCACAGTAACATCGAGGTCTTAGATTTGGGTTCATATTGAAGTGAGAGACAGTGAAGCTTCTGTGTTTCCCAACACTTACAGTGAAACTGAGACTCACTAAAGACAGATGAAGGCTGATCTTACTGAGACGCTCCATGACCATGTGAGCCTCCTGGAGGATGTCACTGAGTCAGGACTGTTAACCGTGTTAGCGGCGCAGGGAGGCGGAGCGGCCTGGAAAAGTCGCCGCTCATTTAGACTTAAACTGTTGTGAACTGCTGCTGGACTCTGAATCTAAAAGGAGCGTTTTCCTCCATCACTGATTTATTAAGCTCGTTACGAACCCCAGACTAACTCCAGGATTGAGTATCTAGTGTAGAAAAAACAAACAGAGTTAAAGGTGATAGATGTCCCTCCTCTAAAAGGCTCTCTGCGTTTCCCCGAACACACTCTGAATCAAAGCTAAACCCTCCGTGAGCCTCGGAGGCAGAAATCTCCTCCTGTCTGCAGCTGTCAGCCTCCATCAGACCGGCTTGTTTAGTGCTGCACCTCCTCCTCCGTCCCACAATCCTCTCTGCTAAATGGAAGGCAACAGGTTTTTACGGCTCTGCACAGACATGTGCGCGGCGGCGGGGATAAAACATCTATTTGTTGTGTCTCTCCTGTTCGGAGCAGCAGGGCGGGCAGGTGATGTTTGTGAGAGTGATTGACAGCAGGTGTTAGAGTCCCCGTTAAAACAGACGCTCTCTGTCACCTCAGGAACAAACACGGGAGTGGACGCCGCTCCAGGTGAGCCGCACACGCTAACTTTCTCTGACAGCAGGCAGCAGCTGGGAACCCAGGGACAATCAGGGGACAATTTAGGGACAACATTTCATTACAAAGAGTCGAATCGACCAGAGACCCAGAGTTAGAGTCTGCAGGGACACGGTGAGGCTCGCTCTCATGTTGTCGCTGTGAATTTCTTCAGACAGGAAGGGAAAAGAGGCCACACGGATCAGCAGCGGCAGCAGCAGTGCTCGACCTCGCCTGTTCGCTCGGTGTCACAGAGATGACTAACCTCAGAGCCGCTCATCTGCACAGACGTGGATGTCACTTCCTATCGGGGCGTGTCAGAGAGGGCAGAGGTGACGGCGAGCGTCATCCGTCTGCAGCCTGAAGACGAGACGAGGAACCATCAGGAGACGAACGAAGGAGAGGAGAGGAGGGAGTTCCTGTTTGGAGGCTCCGTCACAGAAAACCTGAAAATATGAGGTGTATCCTGCAGGGACAACGATAATCCACACAAGTTTAACTCTGATGTTTAATGAAGAGGAAAAGTCACAAATGAGAAAAACAAGATCACTAAAACAGAGCGACGATGTTAAAGAAGAATTTCAGATGAAGAAACTTTGATATAAAAACATGAAAAAACTCTCCGATCATCTCAGATCGAGTCCTTCAGGTTCATCGAACCCGTCCGTTTGAGGTGTTTCCTCTGTAGAAAGTTCTGGAAGTGCTTCAGTGGCATCAGGACGACTTAGTTAACCAAATATTAGATTAGATCAGTTAGTCCTGGTCTGAGGTCGTTTTCACACTCTTTAGGATGTGGTGATTCGTCACATGTCAGATGTGTCACAGATCATCTGAGGAAAATTCATTGATGTTTTCATATCGTAATAAATATCGCAGGGTTGAAAAAAATGTTAGTTTTTTCCGATATCGTGAAGCCTTAGTCCAGAGAGTCTTAAAGGTTCAGGATCGAGGATCAGGTCCTCTTACTTTAAGAAATCAGAATTAGATCAGCCTGATCCAGAGTTTTAAAGATCGCCAGAGTTTAAAGTGTGACTACACACTTTGTCCACAGGGGGCGCCAAATCCCCCAAACCCTGAAAGGTCCTCCCAGCTGCTTTAGACTGAATGTTAAATTGATAAATGTAAAAAAAAAAAGATAGTGACTTGTTGATCTGATTTGAAACACTGA